GATTGCCGTTACTCCAACGATTCATCTTTACTAAATTTGATTTAAATCTTGATGATAGCGGAGATCTCGCATCTTAACAAATTTGCGTTATGGAATTTGAAGGAGGGTGGATTTCAGTTGTGATCATTGATTTATCAGAATCTTAAAGATTGGATTAAAACTATAATTCGGGTAGCAGTGGTCCCTAATTGATGATTGATCCTATACCTTTGATTTATATAGGTTCTTCCTTCACAGACAGAACCTTATCAATACTTTCTTAATGGCTGACCACCAATTAGATTCAGTTGAAGATCTCACCCCGATGATCAAGCCCGATAGATTGGAAGGTGAACGCCATTTGGAAGAGTGCAGTAAACTAGAAATAGATTAATTGAATTTTGCGGTGATAAGGGGTTGGCCACTTGGCCATTCTACAATTTGTAGTCATCATCTTTTCGAGTGTTCAATGTACATATGGTTATGATTGCCTTTCTCTTCAAGTTTGATTGGATAGATGGGGATATGGTGGATTTTGTTGTATCTTTCCATTTGGTTATGTCCAGCTTTGGTGTTCAAAAATTACATTAAGATAATGTCTGATCGTTTATGACTAATAAATTTTGTGTTGTTAAGGGGTCTACGCGGTTGATTTTGAGTTTCAAAGCTTTGGAGGAAAAACCCTCTGCTCGATCAGGTAAAGGATTCCATGATTCCATCTTCAGTTAAGCCTCAATTGCTTTTGAGTTTTGATCTAGGGAGAAGCCGCACAAGAAGGCGTTAAAGGATTCCAAATTATCAAGTCAGTGAAATACACAACTGTTTGTTTGCTTTTTTTTTTTATTTATGGTTTTTTCATATTATTTTAATAATAACTGTCACATCTTATCATATCTTTTTACATTTCTAACACATTTTTTTATATTTCCAATAGAAAAAATACCTAAAAACACACACTAAAAAAACGAAACAAAACATAGCTCGCCACTGTAACAATTAACTTGAAGAGAAAAAACGATTGTATATTTTTCCTCCCCTCCGTTTATTCAGGACCAAACTTTTGCCTCCCCTCTGTTTGTTCGTGTTTGTAGCACTTCAACAACACACAACCAAACAATCATTTCTTCGTGGCCTTTTCTTATTAGTATTCACCCTAAACAACACAAAGGGAAAAACGATTACTAAATTTATTATATCGAGTAATAAGACCGAAAATAGTGATTAGGAGGAAAACTTAAACAAAAAGAGAACAATTGTTTTCAAACAAAAGGGAACTAAAGCCTGAAGCTCCTGAACAATTCTGCCTTTGGAAATTCTACAGGGAAACAGAACAACAAAACCAACCCTAGGTTCCTAACGCGGAAACAGAACCGAAGGGACAAATTACGATCTTACCTTACTGGAGGATTTAGGAGCATCCATCTTTCTCTCCCTAAATCCAAGCAAAACAAACAAAAACATCAACCCAAATTGAACAAAATTTGTTTTAATTCGCGGACCTTATGTTTTGGCTTAAAAAAAAAAAAAAAAAACTAAGCGGCATCAAGCCTTACTTCGAAGAAGAAAAGAAAATAAAAAAAAATACTCCCTCCGTTTCATAATTATTGTTCAATTTGAATTTTCATTTCTAGTTCAAACTAGACAATAATTTTGAGACAGAAGGAGTATTACCTATTGAGGATGGTTCGGGTCACGGTAGACGAAGTCGTTCTCACTTTAAATCTGAAGCAAAACACACAAAATGGAGACGAAGGTTAGGGGGAAAAAGAAGTGTTTATTCAATTTGATGTAACCGTATTTTCTAGCCCTAATTTTGCTCGAGTAAACATCAAGTTAAATAAACCTCGGCTTGAATTACGAAAAACAGGAAGAAAATCGATCGCCAAAACAACATGCAAAACATAAAGGCGATGATGAACATAATGCTTACAAGTCAAGGAGCGCGCGGTTTATTTACGGATGACGAGGTATATTTAAATAGAAAAAAATTTGAGAGAGAGAAATCCTCTTGCGATTAAACTTCAGGTCACGAGCCGACCAAAATTAGGCCCCAACTTGGGCTTTATTTGGACTACGAGCCACCATTCAACTTAGAGCAGCCCAAACAAGATTTAATCCTCAATCAATTTTGATGAACCGTCAATGGGTTGTGGAAGTCTCACATGTAGGACGGCCCGGCAATGAACCCGCCGATTCGTTAGCCAAAGTAGGTTTTGATTACCCCGGTTACACATTTTGTCATCACTCCCGACGTCAACTCTAGATAAATTAATATTAGATTCCCCTAGTTTAGCTCACCCCCGATGAGCTACTTTTGTAACTAGAGTTTTGGTTCTCCCTATATATATATACTAGTGATGTCTGGTCGCGCAATGCGCGACTCTGACCCAATATATTTGTAGATCTTAGAAATATTTGTATTTGAAAAAAAAATATTTTGCATTTGCCCCGATATATTTTAGAAATGTTTGAAGAATTTAGAAATGTTTTATAAGTGTGATCATAGACATGTTTGTATTTGGCAAAAAAAAAAAGTGTATTTGGCCCGGTACGTTTTAGAAATGTTTGAATATTTTAGAAATATTTTATAAGTGTTACTTATTAAATATAAATAAACTTGATCAAGTATATCTCTTGAAGTAAATGTTAGACAAAATATAAAAGCATCCTAATAAGTTTAAATATTAGTAAGATGATTTATTAATGTTCTTCATTTGTCGTGCCAAATCCATACTTGGTTTTGGAGATTTATAATAACTTTGTAGTAAGCTTCCTCCAAAGGGTATACATTTAATTGTTGGAACTGTTTCTTCCAAAGGCTTATAGCTAGTAAAATATCAAAAATATGATTTTGAAACTGATTAATTGTTGAAACTGGTTGATCACAAATATGAGAATGAAAATTAATGTAAATTTGCATAGGTTTCAAGTTATAGCAAAAAAGAACTCACTTCACCATGGCAAATAAAAAAAATAAGTAAAAGAGTCCATTAAAAATTGAGAATTTTTTTTTCTTGTAGGTAAAAATGATGTATAAAACACAAATAAACGTAGAAAAATCATTCCTTCCTTCTCCACCTCAAATTCATAAAAGGCTTCCCTATAAATTAGTTAGAAGAAGCGACCTGAACCATTTATATGATGAGTAACTTAAAAAATTCCAAAAACCAAATCCAAAAAGTATATTCTTGAAAGTCCGAATACAAAAAAAAAACGCGCTTCATTTGCAAAAAATAATAATAATAATAATAATAATAATAATAATAATAATAATTGGTCAACTGGGAGTATGAAACAAAAAAAAAGCAATTAAACAAAGAAAAAATACAATTCATAACTGACCATATACGAAAAAAAACTGAGACTCCATAATTAAAAAGAAGTAAACCACTCAAAATGAATAAAACATAAAAAAGAAATTAAAAAAATCACACTTTGTGACAAAAACCCAATTGATTAATTCAATTCAAACAGAACTAAAATCATACAAAAATTCTAAGCTGACTAACCATATAAGAAATCACATCATATTACCTGACAACGGCTACGGTAGTTGTAACGGGTGGACGCATAAAATTAATAGTAATAACACTATTCTTGAACGGGAAAAATAAAAAATAATAAAAGCCGTACAAATGATCTGTGGATATAAAATCATTAAATTTTAATATCTGTAAAGGCACCACTACAACCGTCGAAAGCAACATCAATGGGAATTTTTTTTTCCCTTTGTGTTTATATAGAGAGGTAAAGAGAATATTTTTTGAAGTCAAAATTTTATCTGATTAGGATGTAGTTGATCATCACTAATGAAAAGATTGAACATGCTAATAGGAAAGAAGTATATTTCACCACATATTCTCAATTAATGATTGATGAGTAATTTATTTTTATTTTATTGTGCAGAAGAGATTGATTAGGGAGTCGATTGTCGTGGAGATGGAGATGATGATTTGTGTTTTTTATGAAGTCGTGTTTTTTTTTTTTTTGTTTTGGCGAAAATAATTGGTGGTGGTGGATTTGGACTGCATTTGCCTTTGAAGTCTAGAAAACTGATGTGTAAATAAAAATTTATTTTAAAAATATGATGTGGAAATGGCACATGGCAAATGGTGGTGTTTTCTCAAGTGTGGTTTTTGTTTCTAATATAGTAAGATATATATATATATATATATATATATAAAGAAATGTGATGATTCGATTAATTATTGATAAATAGCTGTACTCAACTTCATCTACAGAAACTATTCAGTCTCATGTATTGATCACATATAATAAAAACTAAAAAATCACTAAATGATTATATTCTGTCCAAAAAAATAAAAATAAAAAATAGTCAACATTATTTTTAGTACAAATTTTAAAACATAATGTGGACTATTTCTCTATGTCACATCAGATTAGTAGAGTGTCACATATTGAACATATAAGAACCTCAATTTTATTCCACATTCTAAGCACACTTATTGTATTTCACAGTAGGTTATATGTCATTTTTATGTGTCACTAATTGAATTCACAGTGACTATTATTTTCTTTAGGTAAATGTATAAATTGTACTCCACCCTTAGGCCTATGATCTCGCTCTCTAAGAGAATCAGCAGAACAACCACACATGGAAGCAGCATCTGATAACTCAGATCACAAGGTGTACTTCTTCATGAGTGTTAATTTTGACAGCTGAAGGTTCGTGAAACCTTAACCACAACAAAGGGCAATTCCAAATAATGAATAAATCAACAATCATTGTTACCAGGGCACAAGCAACTGCAATGTAATCATTTCTAGCTCAAGACCACTCACATCCAATGGCTGAAAAGTTCAGGATTCTCAGGGCTGCATGCCATCGCTGCAGCTATATTATGTAAATAAATGGAGAAAGACCCAGTTTTCTTTAAAAGCAAATAAACCTCAGGGACAATTGGTAATGGACAGATAAGCTCAATTATCTCTTTTCCCATTTACATGTCAGCTTAGTATAGACCATCTATATCAATGATGTTTTGATGAACTATATACAACTACGGAAGACTTGTAGGAGGTGGAACATCCAATGGGACTCCCGGAGTAGGTTCAACTACTTCTGTATTTGGAAGTTCTTTTGACAAAAGTTCCTGCATTCAAAGGAATGCCAATCGTGGTCATCATCGGATGATCTTGTTAATCCAAGAGTAAGGGAGGAGAACAGAAAAATATGTTACAGCAAAGAAATCTTTAGCGAATGTAATCGAACTTTTCCAACCATATTGATAAATGAACTTAGTTCAGGTTTCATACACTCACTCAATGCCCTTGGCAACGGTCTTAATTTCAGCATAGGCATTTCACTCATCTTTTATCAACATTGCTATGTCAGATCATGACTCTCTAACCTAATTTGTGTCAACCTTATGCAGCAGATAATCATACTATGATCTATTTGTATCCAATTAATAACTAGATGACATGATCACCATAGTAATCCACGCTCCAGTTGCATAAACTGTGCAACCACACTAACACTAGTTTTATGAACGAATTAAAGAAATACAAACCTTAAACGATTCTATTGTTCCCTCTGATTGGACGATGCTGGCCAGAAATCCTTTACTATCAAGGTCGCCATTTTTCATGGGCACAATAAACCTATGAAGAAAAAAGTAGAAGCACAGTGTCATGGACATCATAGACCATATCCTCGACTTTAAGCGTACATCTTACAAAGAGCAATCAAAACTAGTCCTACAGGACAGAGTATTAAAAAGAAGTGCTTTGAACTAGGACGATAACACAGTGTCTTTGTACCTTGCATTAAGAACTTTTGCTAGTTTAACAGCATCCTCTTGCCCAGAAACTAAAGTAAACTTTGGCAAAAGTTGCTTTATAACAGGTGTGATTACAATGTCTGCCCGTTCCTTTTCCAGAAAATTTTTGTCATACACGCAGTGGGGTTCATAGTAAAGACTAAGCTCTCCTTTCGCAGAAGTGACCAAGTAGCTGAACAAGTTTCAAGCAAAAAATTAGATTTTCAAGACACCAGAAGAACTTCCAGATATGTATAGATTCTATTAATGTACCCATTCTCAGGACGCTGCCAAGGAGGACCAAGAACTGGCCCTGCAGTGGCCTTAATTTTAACTGGTGAACCATTTCCAGCGTCGACTTCTGTCCCTTCACCTGGTTCCAAGTATGTCACCTACGTATCAAGAAAGGTATAACGGTCAAAATTTCCATATAGTGAAATTCTTGAACCCATAAGGTATCTGAACGCATAAACTAACATTTTGGATGAAACTACCATTCCTAACAACCCCAAGCTAAAATTGGTTGATATGACTGGGAGCTATTTAGGATATGAGCAATGAACATTTCAGTATTAGAGCAACATAGGAATGAAGCCAAAGCAATACGAAACGAGAGGCTTTAATTTTTAAAATGCAGTAAAACTAAGACAGTCTGAATATGCTTCAGATTATGTATTCATCAATGTTTCCCCTTGACAATGAAACTAAATGCTAGTTCATTTTTTAAGGTGGCAAGACCAAGTCTTATGGGAAAAGAAAACGTAGTGTAGCATTTAACAGAAGCTAACTCAACAGCAATAAAAGGTGATCCAAAACTAAATGCATAAACTTTGTGGCATATTAGATCACAAAAGAACAGGTGGATGATGTGGTAGAGTGTAACATGGATGTACAGAGAACGACTCAACTGACAGCAAGATATCACTAAAGTACTTACGTTACTGAATAGAGGATCCAACAATGGTTTAGCATTAGGAGTTGCTATAACTCTCAGGCCTGGTGACTTCTGAGAGAGGGGCTTTAATGTCTTCAAATGGCAGTGATCATCAAGGCTTTGAGTGATTAACAAGCAGTCAATTTCAGGAAGATTGTCAAGCTGCAGTAAAGCCAACCAAATATCAGCAGAACAATCTTCATCTGGATTTCCTCCCCAAAATGATTCTGAGCTAAGAGATTAAGTGCGACAAAATAAATAATACCTGAAAGTTCTTCAGAAACCTTTTAGCAGCATCATAAAGCCAAGGAATTCCAAAATCCAAGTTCCCCACTAGTATAGGATCAACCAAAATTTTCACCCCTCCAACTTCCCATAGCCAACTATTTCCCTAATTCCAACAATTAGAACACAATAAGTCATCCAAACCCCATAAACTGAATAAAAACCATATTTTCATAACTTCAAATAAAGAAAACCCACCTCCAAATAAGTCAGTCTGAAGAAACCTGTTCCACTATAGGATTCAACAGCACTTTCTTCGGAAACTACAGCTGAAATCAACCCTCTACTGGACCTGCAAATCAATTACCACATTTAACGAAAACATCGACCAATCAAATAGATAGAACATAAAATAAGAGAAATTAATTCAATCAATTAAGCAATACCTTCTTGGTAGTGTCAGTAAATTAGATTTGAGACAAAGTGGGCTCTTTTGAGGAGAACTAATTTGGTTAAATGGGAAAGGAGACATGGGTTTTGTTGTACATGGTCCATAGTTGAAGCTTGGAATGAACTTGTATTGAGTTGCCATTGGAACCTTATCAAGAACAGATTCAACAAGACCTCCTTTTGTATATCATGGACTAACAACACTTCATTTGAAGGTTGAAACTTCTTTTGGGGCTGTTTCGTGGCTTCCAGAGATTCAATGACGTTTGTTGAATCCTTAATTACGTTCATGGTTCCCGCGAATTCCTTATTTGTGTAAAGCACAGATTTTTAACCACTCATTTCTCCAACGTGTACAAAACTAGTGCTGGACATTTTTCTCTATTATTCTTCTTTTGAACTTTGGTTGTTTGGCGTGAGTTTGATAAAAGAAAAATGTAGCGCCTTCAAACTTCCAAATCATCAGGCCACAATTTGTCCTTTTGTACGCCATTTATTAGAAGGGAATTCATAGATATAGACTGTTACTACATCAACATCAATATTAGCATTTTTTTAGTCCCATTTTAATGTACTAAAAAATGAAATATACTAAAATGAAACGGAAATACTGACGATAAGGGAAACAAGGAAAAAAATGCACATGTATGTCTCCTGAATCATCATTTATAGTTCATTTACACTTTGATCAGAACAAGAAAACAATCAAAACTCATTGAACGATCAATGGAGAAGGTTATACTGCTATAAGGGGAAGGGGGTGTATTGATTACAGTTGGCCATGGTAACTCACTCTTCGTGTACAATATTATTCGTCACACGCCTTCCTCCCGCACCATAACATACCACAAAGTCTGGAAATCAACGTTTATGTTTTGAAATGAAGTCTTTGTTCTACTCTATTGGACTGGTAAGATATAGCACTCACAAGTTTTACAGATTCAGGTGAGGGCAGGTCATCAGGAATGGGGATTCTCTGATGCCAGACGAATTCATTCTCGTGCTCATACTTTCGCTTTAACTCGACAGTCTCCTGGATCAAGTGTTTGTAAACTGCGCGCCACGAATCATCTTTAGGACTATTCTTCCCAACATCTTTAATTGCTCGATGAAGAACTCCAATCGCGACCCCAATCTTGCCTTCATTCTGCAGGCTTTCTGCCAGGTACTTGTGACTTTTCAAATTATGCAACACTTGTGCAGTTCCAATGAAATCCTACAATGAAAGGAAAGATCAGGAACAAAATCGAGGCATAGAGAACAATACAGTGCCTACTCATTCTATTCCATTATTAGCCAAAATTTATGTAATTTAAAGGTTTTAGAAGAAGGGAACGGAATACATACTGCCAAATGTGATGAAATGTTTTTGCACTCTTTCTTAGCTGAATGCAAGATGCCGGAAGCTTCATCAAGCAAGTCTCTAACGCCGCAGTGCAACTTAGCCAAGAGACTCACAGAGTTTCCTTTTTCTTCTGCTTTCCTAGCAGTTGCAGCCTTGACAATTTATGATAAACGTTAGACAACACAATAGTGTAATGGAAAAGCGACAACAGAACTACCATTTATCTTGTTTTGTATTCAGTTCGGTAACTTGCATAATCGGATAACTTAGCCCTGTTGATGGATATTTCTTTTCCCAATGTGCAGATCACATAACCACATTTTCAAGGCAGCATTTTTATCCTTTTTTATGACAAAAACCATAGCCAATAAAGTCATGTATACTTGAGAGCTCATAGGGAAACAGCTATATGGAGAAATTTAAACAAACCTGAGCCTCAGCCAAGCACACAAGACTCATTACAGATGATACACTTGAGATGGATTCCGGAGGCCGTTCGGTTGCCTTAGCTGTGTTTAAAGCAGGAAGAATCTGTTGAGCTAAATATTGATATACTCCAGCAGCTTTCCTGAGAAGTGTGGCAGATAGTGCCAAGTCTAAGAGAAAAAAAAAAGGGAAAAAAAAATATTAAGTATCTTAAGTGCGTCTCAAATGATCATCTGCTACAAGAAGAAAAAATGAGAAACTATAAACTGACCTTTTGGAAGATTTTCGATACCATTTGCTCGAAGCAATGTACTATAAAGAAACAGGACCATTCCATACTCAAATCGTAAATCATTAATCTGGTAATACTTGAAACATTTGGAATGAAGGATGGGTGATGAAGTAAGACTACTGGTCCATCTTAACTTCAATTCCGAAATCAAACGAGGCATTGGTGGATTCGAAAGGATCAAAGTGACCTCCCAAACCAAGTTTTCTAACAATGGCAGGTAATGCTCCAACTTCTGAATGTCCTGTTTTCAGAGGAAAACAGAATTACAACCATATTGTAAATATATATATATATATATATATATTTAACTTGATCTGATTAAATAATCCCATACTAATTAATCCTTTTGGGTTATAGATCGAAACATTTTCTTACCCGTTCCAACCGGGAAGTTAATCCCCCTGACATTTCCCGTGCAATAGCATCTGTAATTGAGCTGCTCTCATCCATGGACTCCTGAATGGCTCTTCGTTTGGAGCTCAAGTCTTTCAATTCTTCAAGTGTTTTAGAATCTGAAGCAGCAAATACTTGATGAAAGGTAACCTATACAAACAACAACCATATATCAACGATTGAGATAAAACAAAGGAACGAAATAAAGAGCTCAATCGAGTCATATAAACAACATGTGGAACATGGGCAAAATCAGCTAAAGCAAAATTAAAGCGTCTTTCTCAGTACCTGCTTTGTCCTCAACTTGGACAGAGAATAATGAATCATCATGTTCACTAATCTTCTGTGTAATTAATAAATCATTCAAAGGGTCCCCGATGGTTTCAGTTAATCCCGAGAATCTTCCAACGGAAATCTGTGGGAATAATTCAAGAAGCAAACCAACTATGAACACCTGAAGGTGGGTTTATCCGATCTTTCCTCAGATTCTTTCCGCTCTTCTTAGGTTACAAGAACCCATGAAGACGACGGTTGGATTTTTTTAAATACGAGTATTTTTCTTTATTTTCATAATCTTGATGATAATCGGAATATTAAGTCATCATCTGTTTTGCTTAAGGATTCATTTCCTAACTGCACTAAGTCTCCGAGTGTCGTTGGAACTTTGGATGCTGTGAGTTTAGTTGGATTTTGACTCGCTCGGGCTTCCCGCGGGTCAACTGTTTCGTATTTATATGGCGCGCACACGGTAGGGTCCGCTGCTTTTTCCTTCCACTTGCTATGCAAGATTCTATGCTTTTTTTACTTTCTTTTTCTTCCAATACAAAATGTTGATTTATATATTTTCGACTTAGTACTATATGATTTCATTAATTAATAATTAAATAAAGTCAAAATTTTAAAATTACGGGTTGGAGTGAATTGTATTATATATAGAAAATTCTATATGCTGTAGTTAGAGTCTAGAACACAGTGTTATGTTTGAGTTGGTTGATTTAGGCAATTTGTCTTTGCCTCCTCTATTTATTGCATTTGAAAACAAATCAATAAATTGAACATATTTTTTTACATTTTTAATTCGGAAAAAATGACCGACTTACCCGAAATTTTACATGCATTGTCAATGTTACCCTATTCTTTTTCGGTTGGTCAGTATTACCCTTATCTAGCCAATTTTGTCTAATTTTCCCAATTTCGTTAAACTTAACAGATTTTTGTTAGTTTTAATCATAAAAATACCCCAATAGTTTTAAATTTATTAAAATGACCATAAAAAATTGTAACAAAACAATCTCTTTTTATCTTTTATTTAATTTTTTTATTTTTTATTTCTCTTTACTACTTTCATAACTATAAAAATATACTATATGATCTTTACGGAAATATTTATTTTTAAATTCTAATGTACACATTTATATTTACATATTTGTAACTCATGGTTAAGACTTTTTTAAATTTTTTGGTTCACTTTTATAATTTTTAAAACTAGTGAGGTATTTTATAATTAGAACTAACAGAAATACGTTAAGTTTAACGGAAATTAGAAAATTGGATAAAATTAACTAACATTTGATAGGTAAGGGTAATACTGGCTAACTGAAAAAAAGATAAGGGTAACATTGACAAAGCATGTAAAGCTTTGGGAAGATCGGTCAATTTTTCCGTTATGGTTATATTTTAAGCTATAAGTAAGTTATAAAGGAAAAAAAAAATCCCCAAAGCATAAAGAAAAAAAAAACACTCCAAACTATATTTATATCCCCTATTAACCGAATAATCATATCATCGTTCATAGTGTCTGTAACTAAAATAATTAACTCACATATCCATGAAATAGATATTATTAAAATCAATAAATTTAAATAGGAGGCTTATAATGTTATGAATTTTTTATATCAATTGCTTAAATTATGGAGGTTTAATGTCGAAGAAACGAATATTAGCATAATTGATAGGGAGTTCTGGATTTGCAAGTTAAAACAAAATGAAGTAATAACATAATTAGTACTAAATTTTTGTCAAGAGCGTCATAGTCCTTTAAAAATATTTCAAGGGAGCATGTGGGATTTTGGCATAACTTGGAAGTTTTAATCATTTTCTTAAAAAAAATTTACCTTAAAGGGCATTTTTTGGGAAAAAAAAAAAATCTTAGAAGGGTATTGTGTCATTTTTTTTTCACAAGTAGTGACTATTTCATCGGTGGAGGGGTAAAAGTTGTGCATTCTGATGTAGTTTGAGGGACATCTTATCCTTTTAAGAAATGTCAAGGAGGAATTAGTTTTTAGGACATAATTTGGAAAGTTTTTTGTCCTTATACCGTATAATAATAACCATTACTAGAAAATTTCCAGGAAATTAAGAAAATAAAAAGAGAAACGAGGAATCTTAGAAAAAAAAATTGTGGAAATTATCAATTGTACTCCTTCCATCACAGAAAAAAAAAATACGGTAGTTGATTTGAGCGAACTAAATTTTGAATTGGACCACTTAAATTAAGATGAGAAAAAATAAAATAAAGCATCATGTTCATTTATCAATTTTATATTACTATGATTATTATAGATTATAAAATAAACCCAATCTTAAATTTAATTTTCAGAATGGGACTAATTTTTCATGTGAGAAGGAGTGGTATGTATGCAAAAATAAAATAAAATAAAATTAAAAAAATAAAAAAAATTGGCAACTATTTATAGTGAAATGATATAGTGTTTTGTATAAATTTGAAAACACTACACCACCACCAACTAATTAAGGAGCAGTTATATATATTTTTAAATGTGTCACAACACTATCTCATTTTGCTATGTATTTTTTTCACTATATTATGTGTATATATATATATATGTTGATCGGAAAAGTAAAAAATAAAATTAATAAGTACTAATAAATTTATGGCACTAGTACTAATAAAATTATGACATAATAATAATAATAATAATAATAATAATAATAATAATAATTTTTTAAAAAAATTCTCTCTCTTCGAAACACATAGACTATTGGCGAAAATATGCTCTAATGTGTGCGAATCGGCATCTTCATTCTAGCGCACCCCGGTGTGCTCACGATGGTAGGGAAACAAAAGCAGAGGAGAAAGGTGGTGGAAGCAAATGTTGAACAACCAGAAGATGAGATAATCGCTCCGATGGAATCAAGCAGAAAGATGTTAGGAAATCTAGTAAGTAGCCCTAAACTGATTTCGATTTTGATTGATGAGCAATCTCGTGGATTAGAGCTGTTATGTAATCAAAAGATAGTCCAAGTTAGAGAAACCTCGGGTCTGACAATAGGGAAAGGGAAAGAACAAGGGGGGTTATAAGGTTTCGAATGTTTGGGAAAAGGGAGAATCTATGCTGATAGATGGAATGAGCCGTAAACTGGAATTCATTGAACCCAATCTAGTTAATGATAAAGTTATTGCTAGAATCAACAGAGAAGAGATACAAGAGATAATAGATTACTGGAAATCTTCCTTGATATTACATCTTGGGAGCAAATCCACCTTTCTATGTAATTGATGTCTTTATTCGTAGAATCTGGGTGAAACATGGTGCTGACAAAGTACTGTTAATGGATAATGGAGTTTATGCTATGAGGCTTGAGTCTATAACAGCAAAAGAAGACATCTTAAGGCAGAATGTTTTCCATTTTGATCATAGGGCATTCATAGTAAAAGACTGGTCAGTAGAAACTGGATTTAAGCTGGAAGATGTAAAAAAAAAAAAAAAAAGTCCCTGTATAGATATAGCTCCCTAGGTTGCAATTGAAATATTGGAGTGCAAAGACACTGAGTCGAATTACCAATGTGCTAGAAAGGCCTATAGAAATAGATGAGATGACTCTGAGGAGAGATAGGGCAGGTTTTGCCCGAGTTCTTGTTGAAATAGAAATATCTGACAAAATGCCAACTGAGATCTGGGTTGAAGTTGAATAAGGGCTACTGCATGAGCAAAAAGTTAAGTATGAGTGGCAATCAGTACATGTGAAAAATGCAAAGGTTATGGTCATGAGACCACCCGATGCAGGAAGCCAACAATGCAAGTTTGGCTTCAGAAGCATATCATTAAACAGGGGGAGAAAGAGGATGATCAAGTGCAGCTTGGAACAACTGCAAATGCAACTACTGTTGAAAAAAATAGCTCCTTCAAGATGCATGATCAGGAAGCAAATCTCAGCAAAGAAGTGAAACAGGATCAACAAAGAAACAACAACAGGACCTAAATCAACCGCAAAAGAGGAGAAATTGCAGATCCCAAGGAAAGATGTCAAAGAAGTTGAAGTGAGACAAAGTGACAGAAAAAGGGGTACTGGGAAGAACATTTACCATGGAACCAGACCTCCTAATCAGGGGAATAGAACCATGAGTAACATCTTATATTGGAATGTGAGGGGGCTAAACAGCCCCTATGAAACAAGGAGATTGGACATTATCTCTCTGTTAATGAAGTTGGATAAGCAGGATTATTAGAGACCAAGTTAAATGGAGTAATGGTGGAGGAACTTATGAGGGGGAAGTCGAAACAGTATGAATTCCTCCACCATTGAAAGAATTGAACAGGAGATCTTTCACAGAGGTTGAAATGAGAGAACTCATTAAAAGAAATGAGCTGGAACAAGTACAGAAGCAAATGCAGCATGATCCGGAATGAAACCTTATTATTACAAGAAAAGGAAGTGACAAATGAATATAAACAAGCCAGGAAAATAGCATTGAGTTACTGGAAGTAGAGACTTAAGGAGAAATTGATTCAAGAAGGCGACTCCAACTCTCGAAACTTTCATGCTTGCATCAAGCAAAGGAGACTTCAGAACAAGATTTTAGCATATACAGTCCAGCAAGGAACACTGATAGATGATTGGAATAAGGTAAAATCACATTTCCTAGACTTTTATATAAATCTACTTGGTACGAAAAAATCTAGGGTTTCTGTTGATAGTAACGCTTTTAACACAGGGATTAAAGTGTCTGTATACTGGGCAGATTCTCCTGGTTAGAAACGTCACAAAAACAAAAATCAAAGATGCTTTGTTTACTGTAGATATTAACAAAAATCTGGGGCCTGACGGGTACAATAGCGGGTTTTATAGGAGTACTTGGGACATAGTAGGAAATGACCTTTATGAGGCTATAACTGAATTCTTCAATTCAGAAAAACTCTTAAAACAGATAAACTGCACTCTAATATCTTTAATATCGACCTATCACTTGTTGTAATACAATTTATAAAATCATCACTTAGCTGCTTAGTAATAGGCTCAGTATCATACTTCCTGACCTAGTAGTTAGTGATCAAGGTGCCTTTATTAAAAATAGATCTATTTTGCACTATGTACTCCTCACTCATGAACTTATTCGCTTATACAAGAGGAAAAATATAAAGTCCTGCTGTTTGATGAAAGTAAATTTAAGAAAAGCCTTCGATTCAGTCAACTGGGGCTTCATAGAAGAAATGCTAGTGAAGTTAGGATTCCCTCCAAAATTTTCTGGTTGGGTATTAGAATGTGTTAGAAGTCCTAACTATTCCATAATCTTAAATGGTCAAAGTACTGGTTTCTTTAAAGGGAGACGGGGATTGAGATAAGGGGATCATATGTCACCATTGATATTCATTCTAGTTATGGAGTATTTAACAAGGTTTCTCAAGAAGGAGATAAGGAAAGGGGGTTTAAATTTGATCATTTGTGAAAAGTTAGAAATAGCGAGTTTAAGCTTTGCTGATGATCTGATAATCAAGTAGAAATCTCCACTATCAGACGAATTAGTTATGTACTGTCAGATTTTGAGAAAACCTCTGGACTGATTATTAACACTCAGAAGTCTGAGCTATTTTTTGGAGGGATAAATGAGGATTTGCAAGCCCAAATACAAAAGGAAATGGGTTTCAAGATAGGGAACTTTCCACAACGATATCTCGGAGTGCCCATTTCGCCAAGTGCTTGGATACATTTGCTGCCAATCAGTTGTAGAGAAAATTGTTGTTAGGTTAAAATGCTAGTCATCTTGCCATGTCTCATATGCTGACAGACTCACTTTGATAAACTCTGTTATGTTGAATCTTTACTCTTATTGGGCTGGAATTTTTTTCATCCCAAAATTAATTATACAGCAGATTAAAAGACACTGTATGGAAAATCTATGGGGGTAAGAGGGAATCTGGAAGGATATGGTCCCTTGTTGTCTGGGAAGAAGTGTGCAGAAGTAAAGGAGAAAGAGGGTTGAACATCAAACTCCCCATGCTCTGGAACCAAACAATAATTGGGAAGAAACTGTGAGATATTGCCAATAAGAAATAAAGCCTTTGGATAAGGTAGATCCATATTTATTATCTCAAAGGCAACCGGGTTTGGGATTGCCAACCCCTTGCTGACTGTTGATGGCATTAAGCTGCTGAAAGTTTAAAAAAAAAAAAGAAGTTAAAATAAGATATTCGCAATGGAAGTATGGTTAGGGAAAAAGGAGAAGGCATATACAACTATAGTTGGCTATAAATGGTTGAGGGGACAACACAGTAAAAACATAAAATCTAGGATGATCTGGTGCTCCTATGTTGTTCCCAAACATGGCTTTATTTGTTAGATTGCACTGAAAAACACGCTATTGACTCAGGACAGGCTAGCTCAACTGGGGATGCTGAATGGTTCACCCATCTGTGAGTTTTGTGGAGGTTCAGGTGAAAGTGTTGATCACCTTTTCTTTTCCTGCCCATACTCTCAGCAGGTTGTAAATGAGTTAATGACTTGGCTAGGACTATCAGTCAGATTGCATACTTTGAAAACAGGGGTGAATAGAGTACTTAGGTTTTGGAGGTTTCAGCGCATCAAACAGAACATACTCTTTGCTTCCATAGTTACTTTTGTATATCATGTTTGGGCAAAGCGAAATGCTAGAAAATTCAGCAAACAGATATTGCCAGCTTCTGAGCATAGCAGAATGATCAAAGAAGAAGTTAAATGGTGAGTTCAGTTTTTGTATAGAAAAGGTAGTACTGGGACTGCAAGTTTTCTAAATAGTCTTGGAATCATTGTATAAACCAATTTTGTAATAGATAGGAGATGTAAATATGCTTGTGTTTTTTGTGAAGGAATAGCCGCCATATTGCGGATTCGCTAGCATGTGAGTTGTGTGGTGCTGCAAGCAAGACAATAATTCATGCTTCCCGTGATTGTCTCGCTGCGAAGCAAACATAGAGTAGACTGGTTCCTTCTCATGTGCGGCATAGATTTTTCTCGATGGAACTCAAGGAATGGATTTGGATAAATTTGAATAATGGTTTGGAGGCAAGTACTGAGAACCGAGATTGTGTTTTTGGGGTGATGGTATGGAAAGTATGGTTATGAAGAAATGGTTTGGTGTTTAAAGGGTCCAACGTAAGTGTGTTCCACAAAATTCATGGTATTGAGTCATATGTAGGAGGGGTTAGGCGTGTGGTCACGGAGGACAAGAAGTTGGGTGATGTTAGTGTTGGTAGAGAGACTCGTATGGGCAGATGGAGGCCTACCCCGTTAGGATGGATGAAAGTTAATTCTGACGGAAGTTTTGATCGAGACTCAGGGATGGCGAGTGCCGGAGGAGTTGTCCGTGATTATTATGATCGATGGATCGGAGGGTTTGTGATGAATATTGAATATTGCACTATTACAGGAGCTGAATTATGGGGATTATTTCAAGCCTTGACGCTAGCTTGGGAGATTGGCGGACGCAAAGTGATAGTAGAGGTTGATAATCAGATCATTATATCAATGGTGCAATAAAATAATAATATTTTGGAATTGAATGCGAGCATTGTTCGTGACATTTGGGATTTGTTGGACCGTAATTGGGTGGTGGAGTTGAAACATGAGTATAGAGAGACAAACTTTGCAGCCAATTATCTAGCATATTTAGCAGCTCAAGGGCCTGGATTGTTTTGGCTTAAGCTCCACTGTCCGGGATAAAACTTTTGATGTGATTGGGTAGTCTATCCCCAAAATGTGCTTGTATAATTGTCTTAGGCTCTATTCCTTTACCCAAAAAAAATGACATTATTATATTTTTTGAAAAAGAAAACTGTAATTAAATTAAAAATTTATTAGAACAGTAAAGATTACAAAACAGGATCTGTGCGTCTATGTGCAGCGCAGACCCCATTTGTCCGAATTGCAGTGGAAACTATAGCTATGCTCGTTTCCGTTGCTTCTTACTACACTTTTTCTTTTTCGTCTTCCTTTTTATTCTTCTTCTAATTCATTCCCAATCACCCCTATAAATACCTAGAGAGCAGATTATCAGAATCTCTTCGGTTTTGTATTTTCGCTGCAATTCAAATCTCTTTACTAAGTCAATTCACATTCTTCGCGTCAAATTACACGTACTCAGTCACGCACAATTCTCTCAGAGACGTCGTTTACTTTCCCTTCTACAGTAGCTGATGGCGACGACTGCCACAGAGCGGGAGCTGATCGTCGTCGTTGAAGGCACTGCCGCCACAGGTCGTTTTTGGCAGACTATCTGCTCTGATTACCTCGAGAAAATCATAAGGTATTCTCTTCCTCAGTTTCTTTTATTTTCGCGCTCGATTGTACAATTTTTGTGTTTCTATACCGGTTTGATTTGATTGTTTTTCTCTTTATTCACTCGAATTGAAATCGCGGAGTAGTTAACGCGGTGTTTCGGATGCTTTTTTCGTGTTCGTATCGTCGGATGGAAGTTTTAATTTAGTGCGCGTTTTTGTTGTTTAAAATTTTCAATTAGTAGCTTCCTTTGACCAAAATTCAGTGGAATTGTACATATCGTTGTGGACATTTCCTGGCCAATTCTCTGAGAGTACAAGTTTATTAACTGTGGTCTAGTGTAATGAAGTGATCTCTGGTACCTCGATTTGATTTAATTTTGTGATCCTAATGAATTTGCTTTTATCTCCGAGCTCTCACATAGAACTTGGTAAATACAACACTTATATGCAATTACCTAATTCCAACAGTATGAATGAGATTTGTGTTCACTTTCGTTTTCATCTTCATTTCCCAACTTTTTATGTCAATTATGATGCACTGACTCATCTCTTCTGAAATTTTGTTAGGAGTTTCTGTGCGCATGACACGGCAAGCCAGGTATTGTAATATGATTTTTTGTTTTGATGTTTGTGTAACTTTGTTGGTCCACATTGTTTAATTGGTCTCACACAAGAATTATTCTCAATGTCCTTGATGACATATTTCTTTAAAAACATTCCTGGCCAGTTCCAAATTAAGTTTTCTTCCGCTGACTAAATTAATTAAACATCTTTTGTATCCTTTATTTCATGCTGTTCTCTGTGGTGGTTTGTTTTTCGTGAAACAGAAGGCTATAGGTCTAAACTTCTGATCGCAATATTTCAATCTGCTATGATTTTATTCCGCAATTGTGTTTGTAAATACCTGCACATGCTCTTTTCTTTTTTGCTTTATCCCTGCTGTTTGAAATGTATATTTGCTGATGTTCATATGCTGATGTTGAATAGTGCAATTGCTCACAACATTCTGTTCATCTTTGTAGAAGCCATCTGCTCCTGGTTTCAGGCTTTCTCTGGTCGTGTTCAATACTCATGGTTCCTATAGTGGTGTGCACTTCTCTTTTTCTTCGCAGTTGGAGCTTCTTTCTGTTTGTTTAATGGTTATTGAACTATGTGAATGAAAGATGTTTATTCTTGATTTAAATGTTTGTCCTTAATTCATTCTTTCCTTCATTATTGCTTCTGCAGGCTTCCTGGTGCAGCGGTGTGGTTGGACAAGAGATGTTGATATTTTTCTTGATAGGCTTTCAGCAATACCTTTTGGTGGTGGGGGTTTTGGTGATGCTGCAATTGCAGAAGGGCTTGCTGAAGCTTTAATGGTCTGTAATTAAGTTGGGATTTCCCTTTGGGTTAAAGTTTAATAGTTGGTTTATTTATTTATATTTACTTTAAGAACAGCCAAACTTTTGCCATTTGATCGTGACCTCTTATGTTTGGCCGATCAGATATTTTACTTTGTCACTGGTGTAGTTCTCTGATTCTGGGTTAGGAATCCTCGGTCTGGAAATTTGTAATGACGTGTTAATAATATCTGTAGTGAAATCGTCAAATTTATGTGTGGTTGGTTGGTTTTTTTTCTTTGTTCAGAAAATTTTTCAAGCCATTAGGTTCGTAAGAAAATTAGCACTATGACATTTGTTGCACAATCAAAAATTATCAATGAGTTGTGTGTAGATGTGCATTTTGGAATAGTAACATATCATTCGTGAGTTGTGTGTAGATATGCATTTTGAAATAGAAGCATTTTGGAACTCTTATCTACTAGAATCCCTCTAATGTTTACAGCCATCCAAAAATTTTAAATCTGATTGATATTTTTTATGCTAAGTTTAAGCTGCCAGAATATTATAGATTTATGGAACTAGCTTGTTTATTAATGTGGGATATACAGAGGAAGCATTATTTGGTAGGTATTTATGGTTGTGTTGTATGAACCAGATGTTTTCTCCTGCTGGAAATCAAGCTCAACAAAGTATTGAGGGGCAAAGACATTGCATTCTTGTTGCTGCGAGTAACCCCTACCCATTGCCTACACCAGTTTATCGTCCAAAACTGCAGAATGCTGAGCAGGGTGATAATTTGGAGCCTCCTTCAGACAATCGTCTCTCTGATGCTGAGGGAGTAGCAAAAGCTTATGCTCAGGTATGGAGAAAACATTGTCCTCTCATATAGTTCCTTTCTTTCCTCCATGTACTCATTTGTTATCCCTTGTTTTTTTTTTTTGCAGTGTTTCATATCCTTGTCAGTTATATGTCCGAAGCAGCTTCCCAAAATAAAAGCAATTTATTTTGCGGTAAGAGTTGGAAGTGCATTGAGTTCTTTGTTCATTTTAAATTATTCTTTTGTAAGTTGGTGAATATAAATTGATGTAGGGTATACTTTTCGTTCATGGTCTCTTCCTGGATATAATGTTTTTCTCTACATAATCCTTTTTTTCGTTATATTTTTTAAGTTGGCAATCAGATTTCATGTTTGCTTTTCCCTGAATTAAGAAATATACTAGGTTGGATATTTATGTTTCCCTGAAATTTACAAACGACTTGCTTCTCTTGTCATGAAAAGATTAAGTAGATCACTTATGCTTCTTTTCGGTCATTTTTTATCTCGTACCAATAGATGAAAAAATTAAAATCTTCGGAAGAAAGTTGGAAACCTACTCTGATGCTTACAACAACAATAATGTTGTTAATTTGCTAACTGTTGAACCTTGGATTCATGCTTGAGAGAATACTTGAATTTTTAGTCTCTAGCATAAGTGATGACTTATAACACGTGGAGATCATCTGGCATCATCTTGTTGTGAAGTTCTTGGACCTTCTGTGTTTAGGGATTTTGCATTTCTTCTATTGCCTGTATAATATGGCTTAAGCTTCTGTTCAGCGAGGCGTTACGTAGATAGTTTGTAGGCTCTGATTAGAACTTGTGCTCATCTAAAGAAGAGTTTCACATGCTGATTATATACATTGACGGTAAAACTTTGATGCATTCTAGTGCCCCTTTTTTCTTCTTTCTTAATTGATTTCATTTCTTTAATTTTAGGGAAAGCGTAATGCTCGAGCCACAGATCTATCTGTTGATAATCCCAAGAATCCTCATTTTCTGGTTCAAATATCTGAGAATTTTATTGAGGCTCGTGCTGCCTTAAGTCGCTCTGGAATTGCAAATGTGTCCACCCAAAGCCCGGTGAAAGCAGACACAGCTTCTGTTCCACCTGTTTCTGGACCTCCTGCAACTTCTAATCAATCAGGTTTGTTTGGCATACATAACAGAGCTTTTAATCACTTATTGTCATGCATGTATGCTGATATCATGCACATGTGAGGCCTCTAGGTGCATCATAATTAGAAACTCAACTTCAAGTGAGAAGGAGAGGACCTATTACAAGAAATTATTGAAAAATGCATCACCGTCAAAGTAGAGCAAAATATGTTTTCAAATAAAATTTGATGGGTCTGTATGAAAGCTTAATTGCGTTATTGCTATTAATGAATATGCTTAGAACCATGTACGAAGTTAACAATCAGGTGCACTGATTCCTCAATGTTTACCATTCAGCAAATGTAGCTGCCGTGAATCGTCCATCAGTTCCTGTTGGGGGCATCCCTCCTGCTACTGTGAAAGTTGTAAGACTCCAATGCTTTTCTTACTCTTTGTTAATTAGAAATATGTGGTAATTTGGATGGAAACCAATCCAACCTCATGTATATCCAGGAACCAGCCACCTTGACATCTATGGTTGGACCTACATATCCACATATTCCTTCAGTCCCTCGTGCTACATCACAAACCATTCCAAATATGCAGACCTCTTCACCCATGTCAGGGTCGCAGGACATGATCTCAACAAATGAGAATGTTCAAGAGGTGAAACCTACTGTCAGTGGTATGACACAGCCACTACGTCCGGGTGGTGGCGCAGCTGCAAATGTGAGGATTCTGAATGATGTTGCCCAGGCAAGGCAGGTTCTTGCAGGAGGAACTTCTATTGGACTTCCATCTATGGGTGGGACATCCATGCTCCCAAACATGATATCTAGTGGAATGACGTCTTCTGTCCCTGCTGCTCAAAATATATTATCTTCAGGGCAATCAGGTGTTGCATCAGTTGCAGGTCAAGTGCCATTAACAGGGAATGCACAGGTCGCACATAGCTCAGCCCCAACATCATTTCCTTCAACGAGTCCAAATCTATCTGGGAATTCAAATCTTGGCATGTCACAACCATTAGGTAATCTCCAAGGTGGTGTTAGCATGGGCCAAACAGTTCCTAGCATTAGTCAAGGGAGTGTGACAGGCACACAAATGGTACAGAGTGGAATGGGCATGAATCAGAATATGATGAGTGGCATTGGGGCATCTGGTTTAACCTCTGGAACTGGAACTATGATTCCTACTCCTGGAATGTCTCAACAAGTTCAACCAGGAATGCAGCCTCTTGGGGTTAATAATAATCCTGCAGGTAGTATGCCCGTGTCACAGCCAACATCAAGTACAATGCAATCAGCACAGTCAAAATATGTCAAAGTCTGGGAGGTAAGTTCACCATATTGGTTAAAAAAATGTGATCTTGTCAGTTACTTTAAGATTTCAACTACCAATATTACGGGCTTCCATCTAATAATACTTTCTGATTAATCCAGCTGCTTAACAAACATTTCAAGCAATAGACTTTGGTAATCTCTAAATGCATATATCAGATCAACCTATTCTTGCTGAAAATTTCATAGGAGAACGCATTTCTGATCAGATAATGTCCTTTTTGGGATCCAGTAAAAGTTGAAAAAGTAGCCAACTTTTGCCATATATGGTGCATCAGCAGAGAAACGGTCTTTCTCTGGTTTCTTGTCTTTTGTTCCTCCATTTCATGCTGAATTCTTTGAAACTACTGCAGCTCAGTCTTTGGATATTGTGGTTTCAGTATTGTGGTGATCCTGGCATGTTTGAACATCTCCTGAACTATGATAAAATGATAACAAAAAGCGAATAGTCACAATGTTTCAATTTTGTTGTTTTTTTGGGGGTTGTATTTTTCTCTTTTATGCCGTTGGTCTGCTGGAAACTGTTGGGAAAGTTATGACAGAATCTGCAGAATGCCGAGTTTTAGAGAGTAACCATGTATATTGTGAATGTGGAATGCGGAATTTTTTTTTTTATTGTTGATGCCACTTTATACTACTCTTTTGCTATCACTAACAAGCCGTTATCCCACTACATGTGCTGATGGTGGGACTTGAACCTATGCTCTCTGTTGCACACAAACAGTCAAAATCACACTTGATAGTGCATCTCTTTGCATTGAAAATAAAGTAGCACAACAAAGTGCAATTTTGGGAGTTAGAAACAGGGTGGTGAATTTCTTCCCAATCTCTAAAAAGTAAAGCCTCTGGGTTATAGTTTACCGATTTTCCTTCTCATATGTAATGCATTAAGATGTTTGTGTATGGTAGCCTCCATTATTTTTGTCAATAATGGATCATGCTTCAGTTGATGCAGCATAAGGTGGACCAATATTAAAGTAGATCCTGGAAACAGTATATAGGGCTTAGAAGTGAATAAACCAAACGAAAAAATAAAGAAAACAAGCTGAAAATGGAAAGAGCTTAGATCCAGGAGGAGGGGAAATAAACAAATCTATAAAATGGAGGAATCTGTCATGAATGCACTTAGTCATCCCGTGTAGAAAACTTTGTGCATCACATCTGAGTTGTAGTACTAGACACAATCCTTATAGAAGATACCATGCTGCAGGTAAATTTTTCTAGGACCCATGTCTCAGTGGAAGAGAGCTGAAAATGTCCCTCCAAAATTACTTCCAATAGATTAGGGTTTTTTTTATTGTCCTTCCGAGGAAGTGAATGCGTCAATGCAATTCAACTATAAAAACTTAATATTACTAATCAAGATCAAGAAAAAAGATCCAGCGAAGCAGTGTATATGTTGAATTATTCTCAGCTTCTAGAATTCAGAAACTGCCAAAAAGTTTGAAACTTATCCCTTGAATGTAGTACGACAACATAAAACAGCATAATCCAGTTCTCATATTTGTTCATTTTCCTTATTAATACTAAGGTAAGTTCAGACAGAACTTGGAAAATTCATATTTTTGTTTCCTCGCTACCTTTTTTCCCCTTTCCTGCATTATCAACCTTTTCAACAAAAAGGCATCAAGGCTAATGTTAGATGTAGCAAGCATGTACGCCATCAAATTTCTGCCTTTACGCTTAACATTTACCTTGGTTCAACTGTTTTAAAGCGATCCATTTCACTCACCAAGGGACTTCAGCTAAGAAGAGGAAGTTGCTATATGGTGAATTTAATGTCAGAAGTTAAAATCTAGTTTAATTCTCCAAGCATGTAATCTAACCTGCAAGGATAGCGAGAAAAGACAGTGATGGTTACAATAGGCAATATCTTGCCCGTATAATGGAAACAGGACTTCACTTGCTCTTATGGCACATTATTTTGGTTTCTTATCTAAGAGCTTAAGCTTAAGTGCATTCTTTTAGTCATTGAAATAGATCTTCTGGGTTAGGAGAATTATGGAGGAAATAAGGAAAGCAATAAATACTCCCTCTGTCCCAAAATTATTGTCCAGTTTGCATTTTCAGTTTTAGTACAATTTAAACTAGAAATGAAAATTCAAACTGGACAATAATTTTGGAACGGAGTGAGTAATACTTTTGAAAATAAAATATGTTTCTAGAAAAGCGTCATTCTCAATCAAACGGGAAGTGAACATGATATTAACTATTACTTGAGCGTAATCGTTTGATACTTTAGTTTGTATCTTTAATTGCCTTCATCTTATGATTGGATAGGTCACGTGTAACTTGTTTCACAAATTGCAGTATTATTGCTTCCTTCTGCGGAAGGAAACTAATTTGACGCTTTAATTGTTGGTTTGATATTGCAGCACATTTATGAATAGTGAGTTTTTACTCTATCTAGAGATATTATTTGTATCTCACATTGGCCTGAAGCATTGATTAAATGAATATGCAGGGAAACTTATCAGGACAGAGACAAGGCCAGCCGGTTTTTATTACTAGACTAGAGGTATGTGTCCTGAAAAAATGAGTTTTCTCAATCAATAGGATATTCTAATATTTTATCCTTATTGATTTCAATCTGGGAAACGGTCTATCACAAATGAATGATTCATTCTGGGATATGGTCTATCACAAGAAATAAATGATAAAATTAGGTTTTATTTTGCCCCCTGCTGGTCCCATTTTTTGCTTTCCTTAGTAGTGAAAGTTTATGGATTTTTCATTTCGTTGCAACTCTTATACTGTATTCGACTGTTACAGGGATACAGGAATGCCACATCTTCGGAGACGTAAGTTTGTTGCCATTTTACCTGTTTATTCTTATTTATTCAGAGGAGTGGAAGTTTGTCTAAGATTTCTTCTCTGTCTCTCTTCGTTTCCTTTATGATGTAAAAATTTGTTAGTGCTAAATTATTAACGACATTGTTCAGGCTAGCTGCTAATTGGCCCCCGACCATGCAGATTGTTCGCCTTATATCCCAGGACCACATGAATAACAAGTAATACTATTGGAAGCCAGATTTTGTCTGTTTGTTTCTCCGTTCTGAAAATCTATCCATTTATTGACCGACTAATAAAGAAGTGCTATCCTAAGCTCTTGTTTCCTTTGCTGACAGGCAATATGTTGGCAAGGCTGACTTCCTAGTTTTTCGGGCGATGAATCAGCATGGATTTCTTGGGCAGCTACAAGAAAAGAAGCTCGTAAGTTTTATGAAAAGCTCTAATTGATTTTACAAAACATTCTTTCTAATTGCTCTTTAGAAAAACAGAGCCTAATGTAGGTAGGAATAGGATTAGTTTTGTTTAAATGTGATATAATAGCAAGAGCATCAGGGTGGAAGTATTGAACATTATACTTCGGGAGCTGCCTCTTTTGGATTACATTGTGGGAACCAAGGAATAGAATAATTGCAAGTGTCTGCAACTTTTCTGTAAAAGGATAGATATGTTTTTAATCGTTGTAGTAGAGGAAATGTTACCTGGAAATTGGAATATTGATCTACTGTTGCAGTGTACAGGGGCCTTTTCTAATTTTACATGCTTGTAGTGATGACTCGGCTGTAATGCTGAAGAGGATATATTAGTGTTATTTGTACTCTTCTAAATATGTTGGCTTTAAACATTAATTATACAACTTCCTGAGTGGGAAGAATGACACTGAATAGAGTTTGAAACCGGTCTTCGGAAACCAATAAAGTGGAAGTAAAAAGGACAGGGAAAAGTTGGATATCTTGTGCAGAGGTTCACTGGAATGGCAATGCCTGAACAAATTAGAGCTATTGCCTCAATTGAAAGGTTCACGTTATTGGTATTTAAAATGTATCCGACATTTACCTTATTCTAAATGCCTTTGGAATTTTTGAAGAAGTTATCTTGTTTACCTGTTGCTTCTTTCGTATATTAGGTGTGTTATTTCCGTTGCATTACTCAAAATCTCTGATATGTACAATCCATGATTGTGTGATGACTATTCTTAGTCCGAATCTCTGCATATTATGTTCCAAGAAACACTTTTTCTTTTTTTGTTTCTGAAGTTGCATACTTCCACCTAGCTGCTCATCGGTTTTTATTGGAAATTTCCAGTGTGCGGTGATACAACTACCCTCACAGACGTTACTCCTCTCTGTTTCTGATAAAGCTTGCCGCTTGATTGGAATGCTTTTCCCTGGGGTAAATTATGCGCATACCACAACACTGCTCAATATTTTTATCTCTTTTCCCCGTTGCTCCAGGTAACTAACTGTGATGTTTCTCTATTTAGGACATGGTCGTGTTTAAGCCTCAAATTCCCGGTCAGCAACAACAGCAACTACCACAACAGCAGCTCCAAGCACAGCAGCTACAGCAACAGCAGCACATGTCCCAATTACAGCAGCAGCAGCAACAACCAATGATGCCGATGCAACAACAGCAACCCCTCATGCAAATGCAGCCGCAACAGCAGATGCCGCAGCTACAACAGCAGCCGCAACAGCAGATGCCGCAACTACAACAGCAGCCGATGCCGCAGATGCAACAGACGCCGCAACAAATGTCGCAGATGCAACAGACACAGCAACAAATGTCGCATATGCAGCAGGCGCAGCAGCAAATGCCACAGATGCAACAGACGCAGCAGCAAATGCCGCAGATGCAACCGAGCCAGCAGCAAATGGCGCAGATGCAACAAACACAGCAGCAAATGCCGCAGATGCAACAGACTCAGCAGCAAATTCCACAGCAGCAACAACAAATGGTTGGGACTGGAATGGGGCAAGGTTACATGCAAGGGCCTGGACGATCACAACTGATGTCACAGGGACAAGTAGTATCTTCACAAGGTCAACCTACCATGAACGGGGGAACCTACATAGGTTAATTATCTATTCGTTTCTTCAAAGTAGTGTTTCAGGTAGAAATTTAGCCCTAATCACTTCTTAACTGACCATATGAAGAATTATGTCTGTCGTACATTCCTTAATATATGTGGAGATAGTGAACAGAATCATCATTGAGTGAAGAAAATGTTTTTGGCAGTCAGAATTCAGAAAGAAAGGTCTTAGTGTGATTTGTCGTAATTTGAGGCCGCATACGGATCACCAACCCGGGGTTATTGGAAATGGGTGGGGGATACATCAAATGATCAAAACTGAAAGCGGTAGGCCTTCACCACCTTCGAGCTTTGGGAAATGTATAGTTTTGTTCTTTTGGTCTCCATTCATCGCTCAGATAAACTATTGCCTCTTTATAAAGCAACATACTCGCAATCATTCGTAGTACGAGACTATAAGTCACACCAACCCTCTAATCTCTCATAAGTGACATTCCAAGAAATACTTTCCTAAAGTTAAATCTTTCACATCATAATTGCAGTATTAACAAAGCTATTTATGAGATAGCTGAAATTAAGGGTGATAATCGTGCCATTTTTTAAGTACACAAAATTAAAGTACGTTTGGTGATGATAGCCAGTATAATAAAAGAGGAAATGAGATAGTGAAATGTCAAATCACACTCCTCGTAAGGGTTAATTATTTCATTTTATTGCATATTTTCACAGAAGGTACCATTTTTCTACGTTCACAAATTAGAACACAAACTTGACTCATTTCATAATCTGAGAGAGATAATATCATAATAATAAATTTGTATGGCGGTTCACTTTACAGTGGTTTGATAATAACAACTCACTTGAGCTCTTGCAGTCATTCTTATGTTACAACCAAGTTTCCAACACAAATGTAACTTATTTATCTGTTCTGTAGGATAAGCTCTTTAATATAAGTTTGAGTGCACTTATTGTCCTTCCAGATTTTCACCTCATGTGACGTGACAAATGGAGTATGTATGTAATCTGTTTACTTAATACATTATAGACAATTCCAGGCAAGTCCACCAGTAGTTATTCTGTAACACCATTAACTAATGTAATAATTTTTCCTTTTCTGAAATACTCCCTCTATCCCATAATTATTGTCCACTTTACCTAAAAAATTTTGTCCCAAAATTATTGTCCAATTTGACTTTTTATGGATCAAGTTACACATTTGTCCTTAGTAAAAAACATTATCTATAAAATCTTAGTGGTTAAATAATAACTTATGTAGGGATATATCTGGTTGTTTAAGGTAAAATATAATTAAGTTTGACCAAAAATAAAATCTTTCATTTTAGTAAAACTGGACAATAATTATGGGACGGAGAGAGTATGTCATTTTAGGAATTTTATTCACACAAATAAAATGGCCAAAGTACAAAATCGGTTTTTTTAAATTTTTATTATGACTAATATCACGATATTAATTGACACCAATACAATTCTATATTAAATTCAATTACTATTTCCAAAGGCAAATGTAATGTCTGAAAAAATGGATAAAATACACTACCTACATCGATTTGATCTTGTAGAACATATATTTTGAAATTTTCATATTTTTTATAAAAGTAACATATATTTCCAAATAGAGTGAAAATATTAACTTACTTCCCATTATTTAGAACTCATTTTCTTGAATGATTTTAATACAACAAATATGCTTATAATTTGGGAACCGAGGGCGTATTTAAGTGAATGCAAAAGTGATTTCATATCTGAAGACTGAAACAATGTACTGCCTCTATTCTAATTTAGAAGAGACTTTAAACATGATTTTCTTATTCCTTTTTATAAGAAGCATTAGATTTCCTAAGAATTATTTAATGACTTTTTTTTTTTTTTTTATCCTCACAACTAATCAATTCAAATATTAATTCAACTTCATTGATGTCATTGGGATATTTCGGAAAATTTGCAGTAATTTTGAGATAAATAAATATATTTTTTGTTTTATTAATGTGTAGAATTAATTATTGATCACTTATAAAAAGGAATGGAGGTAGTGATATCAATTTTTCAAATTATTAATTTCTATCTCTTCATTAAAAAGACAGCCTAAAAAAAAAAAAAGAATAAAGAAGATGTACTCTCACTTTTTCAAGTATAATAGTAAAAAAGTCTGTAGGGCTAGTAAAAAGATGATGACCAATGGTAAAGAACGGTGCTCTGTTTCCCCTTCCTTTTACCATAAATATTTCAAAGTTGATCAACCACTTCCAAATAAATGCTGCACCTCTTAGTGCCTTCAACCTTGCTCTGTAACTTGTAAGTCCCTTCTTCCTCTGTAGTATTAAACACAAAGTATCAGAAAAAATGGTCTCTGCTTCTCCTCCACTTCCAAAGGTAAGGTTCTCTTACATGGATTCAACAAGTAAATTTTTTTAATTTTTTTTTTCTTTTTTTTTGGGTTTCATCTCAGCAAAAATTCCAAACTATTCTACAAACAAATTGAATTTCATGGATTTTGTGTATGTATGCAGGAAGTTCCATCAGATAACAAGTGGGAAGAAAATGGCCCTCCAAGAGAAGCCAAATGGTGGTACTCAACTTTTCATACTGTCACAGCCATGGTTGGTGCTGGTGTTCTTAGCCTTCCTTATGCCATGGCATATTTAGGATGGTAACTTCATATATCTCTTTCCTTGATTTTTATTTTTTCTTCCTTCCTCTGCATGTATCAGTCCATTGTGTGTCCGCGTGTTTTTTTTTTTTTTTAAAAAAAAATTCTAATTATTTAGTTGGGTACAGGGGACCTGGAACAGTGGTGATGATCTTGTCTTGGTGTATCACATTAAATACAATGTGGCAGATGATACAGCTGCATGAGTGTGTTCCTGGTGTTCGATTTGATCGATATTATGATCTGGGAAGGCATGTTTTTGGACCAAAATATGGGGCCTGGATTGTGCTTCCTCAGCAGCTGATTGTTCAGGTTGGTTGTGACATTGTGTATATGGTCACAGGAGGAAGCTGTCTCAAGAAATTTGTGGAGATGGCATGCACAAATTGCACCAGAATCAGAGAATCATACTGGATTTGCATCTTTGGTGGCTTGCATTTCTTCCTTTCTCAGTTGCCTAATTTCAATTCTGTTACTGGTGTTTCTTTGGCTGCTGCGATCATGTCTCTGAGGTATCCTGTCACCTTCTTTCTCCAAACTTTTTAGAAACTGACTAATTTCCTAATTCTGAGGTGTTCTTTTATCTGCTGTGAAAGTAACCATCTTTCTTAAAATTAGTTTCATTTTTTTCAGTGCATTTAATTTGCTGTTCGGCTTTCAGTCACAGATTCTTGTAATTTGCTTTCCTGTGAAAGATAATGGCAATTCATCACTCATATCAAATCAAACCACTAATTGAAACAACTGTCATAAATACAGTTTAAAGGTTGGGAAAATGAGTGGACATTGGAACTTTAATGATTGTTGGATTGACTTAATTTGGAATTTTGGATCACTTTTACTCTAATGGATGTATTAAATGTAATTAGTTGGATTGTGGAAGATAGTGGTAGCGAAAATAAGCGGTGAAGAGAACGGCGTATTGCATCAGAGATAAGTATGAACATCAATGCATGACATCATGATTTTTTTAACATCATACAAGTACAACGTTAGTCACTACTATTGGTCTCCAAAACAAAATCTTTTAAGGTAATCTGTTAAAAAGAAAAAATAAAATAAAAACTTAACAAAAGTTCTGTGTGTTGCATAATGGCAGCTATTCAACAATAGCTTGGGTGGGATGCTTAGGTAAAGGCAGGGTTGAAGATGTGAACTATGGATACAAGACCACATCTCCAGCTGATTCGATGTTTCGAGTCTTTAATGCATTGGGTCAAGTTACATTTGCATATGCTGGTCATGCTGTGGTCCTTGAGATTCAGGCTACCATTCCTTCCACACCTGAGAAGCCCTCAAAAGTTCCTATGTGGAAAGGTGCCTTGGCGGCCTATTTCATCAATGGCATTTGCTATTTCCCTGTCGCTTTTATCGGATACTGGGCATTTGGCCAAGATGTAGCTGATAATGTGTTGGTTGGACTCCAGAGACCTTCATGGCTTATTGCTGCTGCAAACTTGATGGTGGTTATCCATGTCATAGGCAGCTATCAGGTATCATTGTGAATTCATAATTAGGCATACCAACGGATGGAAGAATCTATTAATCGAATGAAAATCACAGGTTTATGCAATGCCGGTTTTTGATTTAATCGAGAGATCAATTGTGAAAAGGTCGACTGTTATATCTGGAGTGTGGTTAAGGCTTATTGTGCGTTCTGCTTATGTCGGTAAGATTGATCATTGCCATCTTATGATTACCTGGGAGAAAAAGATACAAAAATGGAACTTGATAATCATTTCTGTGCTTTGTTGTATGTCTAAATGTGCGTCAAATGTGGCAGCATTCACTTTGTTTGTGGGAGTCAGCTTACCATTCTTTGGAGATCTTCTTGGTTTCTTTGGTGGATTCGGCTTTGCTCCGACTTCTTACTTTGTAAGTGCATCTGTGAATGTCAGGTGTCACCATCAACTTTAGTTCTTTTGTTTTTGATTCTCAGAGGAATCTTAACATGTGTTGATGTTACCCTGACAGCTCCCTAGCATCATTTGGTTAAAACTCAAAAAACCAAGACGATTTAGCGTCTCGTGGTTCGTCAATTGGGTAAGTAACAGCATTAAGCGACACTCATCTTGTTCTTAACAGGCTGACAATTTGGTGCAGAAAAACTAGACTAATCTTTGTGTTTCGGTTTGGTAATTCGCAGTCTTGCATTTTCATTGGAGTGTTCATCATGATTGCCTCAACCGTCGGTGGGCTGCGGAATATTGTTGCTGATGCTTCCACCTACAAGTTCTATACATAAAAGCTGCTTCAACAGTTGGTCTTAAAGAAGCAAAATCAACAGAAATTTTCTCTCTTTTCTTTTTTCTTCTTGTTTTGGTGGGAGAGTTAACCAACAAGAATGGTTGGTGTTAAATTTCTAGTCTTCCTCAACTTTAGTTAATCTACTATATATGTAATCTTAAACAATTATCTACCCAGAAATCAAAGCAGAAACGCTATGTAGTGTGCAAATGATGCTCAGTACTCCCGCCATTTCAATTTGTAGGTCGTTTTAGGTTTGGAGAGATTTTTCAGAATGTAGATCGTTTTATAAATTTTAGGCAAATTAATGACTATCTTTCCTACTTTACCCTCAATAAATAATGTCAAATTTAGTCTTATTTATAGTTCCAATGTAATTAATAAAGGGTAAAACAGAAATTTAACACATAAATTAATTGTTAAATGATTGTCTCTTTGGTATATGTGCAAAGGCTAAAGTGACTTACATTTTGAAATGGAGGAAGCAGTTTTAAAAAAAAAAAAATGCTTAGTAGTTTTCATCTCGAAAACAAAAACGAAAGCAAAACGCAGACATCCTCTTCAAGTATGCTAACTTGCGATTCTTCTACCATAATATACAAGTTCAAAGACTTAAGACATATGGATTTTGTAATCTACTGATGCTAAAAAGAAAGGAGGAAAAATGAAAGGACCCCATCGTCCGTTGGCCGACAAAGTCCTTAAAGAAGAGTTTCTTCAAGGTTCTTTCAACAATGCAACTGTAATGCGCGCTCTTGAAAAGCTGGAGAAAAATCTCATCATTGTTTAGTTCCTAGCTTTTTGAACTCTAAAAGCTGACCTCTGATTGAGCTCGAGAACAACCAGACTAAAGCTTTTTCACCCTTTATAATGATTGATCTTTTACCAACTTTATTAAAGATGGAGCATCTTTTCAACCATTTAGTTGGAACATCAAACAATTTTATACTAAAAGGTGGACTGGATTGCGGATTAAGATGCCAAAATTCCTTCCTTAAATATGGGTTTATGGTGGACTAGTTGTTGTCTAGAGGAGCAAAAGGGCTAAAAAAATGACTAATTTATGTTCACCATCTTTATCTAAGTCATCTTTGTGTTCCACTTTTTGTCATGCATGGCGGCTCTAAATATAATGATATCGATTGCAGCACCCTCACCTACTCATCTCATACGTATAAAGTAACCACAAAAACCAAACCAAAACTTTCGTGCTCCCTCCTTCGTCCCAAAATGAAAGTGTACTCTTTCTCTTTTAATATCAAAAGTATTTCACAGCAATCATCATGGCGGAATCACTATGCCAATTGACAACGCGAGATTTATGACTGGAATGATGACAGGAGGGACTGAATTCCAAATATTATGAAAAGAATGCCGCCGGCAAGTCCAACCTGCAAATGAATCAGAATGAATTCAATGAACTAGTAAATCAAATGACATTGAACTTACTAATAAAGATGGAGATACTTACAATTCTCTCTGAAATTTTGCTTGCTAGGCTTTTTCCTCCTAGTACAGCAGCAAATACGCATAAAGCTTGCCCACTGAAAAAACAGAAACACAGAACTGTTTAACTTTAAGAACAATATATGAGGTTGTCACAGTCCAATGCCTGCTATGGGTTAATGCTTAAAGTACAAAACATTATGTAGCAGTAGCAACATGGTCGAAAAACTGTGCAGGAGATAGAATGATTTATACATGATTCCACCAAGAACGACACCTAATGGATTCTCATCCGCAGCCAAACCAATGGTAGCGAGCTGAAAGAAAGAGCACCGGGAACCATCTCAAAATCAGGCGAGGTTAAAATCAGACAAAACTCAATTGCCCTTAGATACATACCTGGCTCTTGTCACCCCACTCCCCAAAAAAGACAATGGAAAATGCCTGCAGCATGTTCAAAGTACCTTTAGTAAAACATAACAAACATTCTAAGCTAATACTCTCCTGACACTGAAGTAAACAGTATAACGAGAATCAAAACCTTTAGAAAGATAGGAGAGAAGAATTGGGCAAGAATTGGCTGTCTTTGCTTTTTCAACACATCCTCATCCTGAGAGATGTACATGATTCAGAACAACATGTTAGAAATGAATAACAAAGACTAGTAGCTAATCACAAACATAATCCTTCTGCCCCAGTAGTACAGGGGGAGTAATATATGTAGGGAGTCAAGGAATAAATACAAGATAACAGAATGGTGTTCCATAAACTTTCAGGAAACTCGCATCAAGGCCACATAAAATGCGCTTAGAAGATTAGAGAAAAGCTTAACTCAACAGGTAGAATTCAGTGGAAAATCAATTAAAGATTTGAGCAGTTGTAAGTTGAAGCAATTTTCCAACGACCAGGAGATGACCTTGAATGGATTAGACCATACATAGGAGGAACTAATTTTCGTACCTCACAATTCCCTTTACTTGCCTGGCTACTAGCCTTTGAATCAGCATCCTGATACAAATAAAAAGTTGTCAGGTGAAAATTTGATGAAAGCTTAGCCTGATTGAATCCAGTATAACGAATCATAGACTTCAGCGGCAGGTAATTTTCTCAATTACTTGTTCTATTAGGAGACCCTATTTATGATGCAGAGCAACGGAAGGCAACATGAATCACACATAAGTTGACTCATTCTGAATATATTACTGTATCATTGAAGTAAAAAAAATACCAATTTTTCTTCCATTTCAGCCAATTCATCTTCCTCTCTGCAACAAAAACAGAACAGGATCACCTTGTTTATTGAGAGGATGAACTTAAGAAATCAGATAATATGCAGTTAATCAAAATGTGCTCGGATTGAAGCTTCAGTGACTTACTCTTCACTATAAGCCTCCCAGAGAGACCATAACCCGAACCCAAAATAGAGGAATTTTGTAATATGATGAGTCCATCTACGGGATAACTGCAGAAAGAAGGCACTTGGAAACACTAAATACGAAGCACATTGTAGATGAAATGATGAAACCAGTAGTTAGACATACCAAATTTGGAGCAGCCCAGCCAAGAAGAACAGTACAAATGGTCATAGCCTAAAATTCAACAAACAATCAAAAGACATTGAATATCCCATAGTCGGCTCAAATTAAGAACTAAATGTTAAATGCCCACACTGAAAAACAACCAAAAGATGAAAAGAGATCTTACAATTGAAGCTGCCAGGCAGCCTGAAAACACAAGCCTTCTGGGATGCCGCATCGCCAAAATCTAGCAGTAAGGAGAGCAAAAACCCCACACATAAAAATGTACCACTCTCAATTTTATTGCCTCAAGAAATCATGGGAATTTGTATCTACTTGTTCATTTGAAGTCTATACTAAAACATTACTTCTTAGAACCACATTATTTTGGAAAGGAAAAAAAAAATAAAGATCCAAAACAGCTCAAAGGAAGAACTATAATTGTACCGCAGCTGCGAGGAATGTATTATCACCGACTTCGGATAAAACTGTCAAAGCCAAGGACTTGGTAAAACCCTGTCAACAAGAATACCCAAAAACTTGATCTTATAATTTCCCATAAACCAGCAGAATAAGAAACTATCAGTACATCTTTTCCATCATAACAGGCTTTTAGAATATGGCTTACTTGCATCAATGAGAGGCTCATCTTTTCTGCTGTGCCTTCAAATTCCGGCCGGTAAAGAAATGTCAACTCCTAACGAAAATGAGGAACAAGAATGAGGGAGACTCAGCTTTTTAACCAATCTGCATTATATATTTTGTGCTGGAGTGGTTACTAGGGAAGGTACTTACCAGTGAAGAAAAATACTCGTCTTTTTTGCATGGATTTTGTAGAAGCTGCTTAAAATATACATGTCCATGTCCTTGTCTACTATGGTGAATTAAATTAAATAAAAGGGTTCAAATTAGTTGACGTTTCGATACGAAAACTGAAAAGTTTGCGGCTGATATAGGGAATCATATCTGGATCAGAAAACCGATGCCATTTTGACTTGTGAAACCTCGTACCTTGTAGATTTTAGGTTTAACTGGAGCAGTTTGTTTAACTTTAACCTGGGAATACTCGATGAATCGATGATGAAATTGACAGAAGCACACTGGAGATAATCTGCATGCATTTTGTTTTCTTTTTAAAAACTACACAAAGAAATGTACTTTCTTGTCTTGTTTTAACAATCCACTTTGTTACTCTGTTTTAATTTAGTAAAACAGTCTGTAAATCAATCACTTTGATCAAGGAGTAGTTACACAATTATCTGAAATCAATAGGGTCGACTTAAATTTCTAGCAGCTGATCAAAAAGGACGATATAACTCCCCATATTCTTCGTTGTTTGTTTTTTTACTGTCATTCTCAATCCAACAATTTCAGCCCTGAGAAAATACAGTCAGTTGGATTTCATACCCGAACAAGGAATCACATAAAAATCCTAATGAGAAAGAAACTAGCAGAAAAGACGAGATGACCAAGAACCAAATCCTAGAAGCATAATACTGAAAGTTTGCGTGATTATACGATATATATATCCTGCTTAATTCACTACGTGTAAGAGATCGGACACAACTAAAGCCTGGGTCAAAAGATCTTTGCGAATAAGGCACTTAAATTATTCGCTGGATACAATGCCTCACAGTCGAGGGAATGCAGGCTATGATGTCTTAATATCATAGCCACTCCTACAATTTTCATGTCAGCAAATTTTGACAGATCAAGTTTTCATGACACAAAAGAATCATAGCCACTCCTACAATTTTCATGTCAGCAAATTTTGACAGATCAAGTTTTCATGACACAAAAGAAATGAACTACAATTCTGAATCATCTTTGAATGGTTGATGTGCCCCTTGATTACGTCTTCAAGATTCCAACTGTCTATGGGTAAGTACTTACCATAAAAAAGTTTATCTGTCTTCATGAATCGATGGGTGAAAGGAAGGATTGAATCCCAAATACGATAAAAAGAACACCACCAGACAGTGCAACAAATTTCTCAGATATTTGCTTCGCCAAGCTTTTCCCTCCTAGGACAGCAGCAGTTGTGCATAAGGCTTGCCCAATGATACCACCGAGAACAACACCGAACGGGTTCTCATCGGCTGCCAAACCAATGGTAGCAAGTTGGCTTTTGTCTCCCCACTCCCCAAAAAATGTGATAGAAAATGCCTTTAAGAGGATCGGAGAGAAGAATTGAGCAAGAAATGGCTGCCTTTGCTTTTTCAAGTGATCGTCATCCTGGGGTACTTGAAAGGACAAATATCAGAACAGAAAAATGTGGGCAACACACAGTAGCCACTAGTGGTAATTCCACAAGCATTAAAAATCAAACTGTCGTGCAATTAATGTGCATATTATTTCTGGAATCTGGTATTTTTACATAAATGTCTGAGAATGCTATACGAAACAGCATTCAGCCCCATATATAAGTACAGTTGTTAGCAGGCAAAATATGATTCTAACTGATAGAACTCAGTGTTGCAAGACGTGATTATTTTAAGGACGAACCAAACTTATGAAAACTTCTGATTCAGTCCTGTCAATAGAGGAGATCATTTATACAAATTAAATAAGGGGAAACAATTTCATTTACCTTTTTGTTCTCTTTAGTCACTCCACCATTGGCTTTTAGATCAGCATCCTGATGAACATCAAGTTATCAGAGAAATGCAAGGAAGAGGCAGCTTGACCAGATATTTAATTCTAAAAAACAAAGCATCATGGAAGAAACATTTACCAGTTGGGCTTCAACCTCAGCTAATTCTTCAGATTCCCTGCAAAATGAAACGAGAATAGGATAACTCTATGCAGAAGATGAATAAAATACAGTTCAAATAAAGTGACTCCGGCCCATGTCCCAGTATTATTCATCTTGATGATTCACACATACCCTTCATGAAATGCATCCCAGAGGGACCAAAGCCCAAATCCCAAAAACAAGATAGTAGTAATATGGTGAGTCCATTTCCGGGAGATCTGCAACCAAAGTAGAGTACGATGATAATGAATTTAAGAGACAAGAGCAGGAATCATATGATGACCCTTCACAAAATTATAACGCTCAGCATCATACACAGTGCAAGAGTGCCATCATCTTAATGTTCTAACGAGGAAAACATGTTTTATGACATGCAGGATGCTCCAAATGTCTTTGACCTTAAGCATCACAATTTAAAGGGTCAATTAACTTAATGATCTTACTTCAATTAGCTCTATCCTTTCTCACTTATACAGAACCAAGATCTGGAGAGAGAAATTAAAGAACCAATATCAGCATACAGCAATATTTAAGCATTGAACAGGCCCATGGCTTCCAAAGCTCGCTAAATGGTTGAAATCAACTAACTAAGTTCATGTGCCAAGATTCACCAGGACTTGAGGAGAAAAACACAGATTTAGATAATCTAAAGTAGCCCTCTTGTCATTCAATGAAAAAATCGCCTTCAAAGCCTGACGAGAGGGCTACTTATGTCATCACCCAATAACATTAAAATAGGCTCATGACACATTATGTCATCACACAATAATACTACGTCATTATGTAAATTTTAGGCCTAAAAGTGTTGGTACTTTAGATGCCTTAGGCTAACGAACACCAGAACATAACATAACATCATAAGCCCAATGGAGATGTGAAAACTAGGCTATAAAGGGGACAGATATAAAAATGGAGGGACACATCACGGGGTAGAGCAGCGAGACATGAACGTTTTTTGTACTATATTTGACACTCTTGATTCTCTGATCACAAAAGATGACTTAAGAAAGGCAAAGAGAAAACATGATCGCATCTAAAAGTGAAACCAGATGCCAGTCTTACCAAATTTGGAGCAGCCCAGCCAACAAGTGCAGAAAAAATAGTCATCACCTAACATCCAAAAAAAGCGAAAATCAGAACAGCATTAACTTTATTTCAAAGAACGAGCACATGCCGCAGAGGTTAAAAGAAAATGATTGAGAGTGGTTCTTACAATTAAAGCTGACAGGCATCCTGCCAATACCAGTCTTCTAGGATGGCGCATTGCTAAGATCTAGCATTCAAATTAAAAAAAAAAAAAAAACTTATCAGAAGATGGATAATCTTTAAAGGGCTTAATATTTACATCAATCATACCGCAAGAAAAAAATTGAAATTCTCAAATTTTGCTCTTGTACGCCAACTAATAACAAAGGACCAGCACAAAGACTTTGCTATAATGAAGTTCACAAAGGATCAGCTCACACGAATAAATACCACAGCAGTCACCAAGAAGGACAAGAGAAACATATGTGCTGAATCACTACATATATATTCCATTGAGGAAATCTGGCATGTTCCTAGTTAGTGATGCAATCTGCATTTATTCTTATTTACATACAACCCTTCATTCCAAAATTCAATAGGAAAGAAGAAAATGGTTTACTACTTTGCTTCTGAAAGTTGTCCGTGGAACCATAAACAGTCACTCTGTTATCAGATTGGTCAAAGAAATTATTAGGAAAGATTTCCTTCAACAATTGATCAAGCATTTTTTTTTTATTTATTTATTTTTATTTTATTTTTAGTTTTTGGGGGATACGGAGTATATGGCTCAAGTAAGTAAGAGAATTCCTTTCAAAATACTAAAATTAGTGAGAACATTTAATTTTCAACTTATGCAAAACATGGAGGACAGTTGATAATCAACAATCCTTAAACTTCAAATAGATGCGTAGCAGCACGAAAATCAACAAAGTATAATGAAATTGCCGTTGATGAAGATCAGTAACAAATTAGACATAAACCTTTTTGCGAAACCTTTCACTTTTCCTTGTGTTATTCCTCGTAGGAGCTATGACTTAAAATTTAAGCCTTACAATCTATTACCTTATCCCAAAGGACACCCAAAAATGTTAACTTTCTTATAAAACGGGATCAATCATCAACAAACATGTATATTTAGAAACATATATATAGTAAGTTTAAAAAAAAAAAAAAAATTCCTGGCGTTTTCTTTAATAAATTACAGAGGATGGGAAAATTCCTTATACTTGTCCAGTTGATCACAGGAATGGTATACTCCAGCTCAACATGGAACTCTACATCTAACTTAATTTGAACAATCAGAAACAATGAATGAAGTACCATCAGAAAACAAAAGCGCCACTCTGATAAGTGACATCACTCATATTTGAGTGGAAATTTATTCTCCTAAATATATCTAGGAAGAGATTCTCCCCATTACATAGCCTGAAAAGCCCGAAAAGAAAAATGAAGAATATTTCTCAAGTGTGGCCAAAAGAGGAGGAACATGTTACAGAGAAATATCAAAAGAAGGAGTTGTTTTTAGATTCTTAGATGCTCTTTGGCCCAAAAAAAAAAAAATGGTTTGAGCAAAGAATCCAGTTCCTCCCTAATTTATTTCTACTTTTCACAAACACTACAAAGGGTGAAAAAGGCCATTTTCCTTTCGATTTCACATCCTTATTCTCTTTATTTCACTTTACTTGAGAACTAGCTAGTGAACAAATAATCAAAAAACTAATAAGTTTCTTGTCTGGCTAATAGAAACAACATTAACAGAAATCAGGTGACATTCATCTACTGATAAGGTTAAGAAGGCCGCACATCAATTTTGGAGATCAAGAATGTAACTTTTGCAAACATCAAACACCCCCCACCCCCCCAAAAAAATTAAATAATAATAAGAAGAAAACGCAGGAGCTGATCATAGTAAATCCAATCCATACTTCACATTGATGGTACGAAATTTAATCAATAACGTCTTCACCAGATAAAGATTTCGAGGAGAAACCCTTCTCAAAAAGCAGTAATTTTAATTGCATTTAAAACCCACTACAAAAAACAGCTTTCCGAGAGAATACAAATCTTACCGCAGCAGCAAAAAATGTTTTGTCGCCGATTTCGGATAGGATAGTCATCGCCAGGGACTTGGTAAAACCCTTTTACAGGAACAGACAGATCAAAGCTTTCCATTAAACAAATCATCAACCCCAGAATGGGAAAAAAGAAAAGCAAGAACTTTACAACAACTTTTGTCCAATTTGAACACAAAATAACAATAAAGAGTGAGATTGAGAGGGAGAAAACTACCTGCACCACAGAGAGACTCATGTTTTGGGCTGATGGGTCTCCCCTGAAACTTAGAAAAAGGGGGAATTCGAAAGATGACGATCAAATTGTTAGGCTCTATCTGTTTGTGATTTATCGCCCACTTTTCAACAGTGTGTTATGGAGGAGAATTTCATCAGACACGAGAAGCAGCTCTATTTTGTTTGTTGACTGAATTTTTTATACTAAATCAGACGGCATCCGCATGCGGTGTTGTACTGTGTGACACTGACCAATCAGTATTTAAATAATATATATATTTTTTTTTATCTGAATAATAAGAACTGAAATTGAAAAGCATCTGTTCAGTGTTCACCAAAAAAAAAAAAAAAAAAGGCATCTGTGGTCCAAAGGTATCAAGTGTGTGGCACTGAAATTCTACAGTTTGTCTTTGTGTACATTTCTGATTTACCTCAATTCTCAGGGAATAGTTTGTTGTATTCATGTTGGTTTGATAGGAAATTTAAAAGAAAGTTAAAAAGAGGGGGGGGGGTGGGTGGGGGTGGAACTTATTTGAGACAAAGGTTGTACTGCAAAAAAGAAGAGTTTGTATACTAAAATTAAAAAGACATGAGCAAAGACAACTCTTTTGGCCAGCTAGAATAACCTTAATTACATAAGTAGTAAATTTCTAAAGAGTAACAAATTTGAAGATTTATTGTGATATCATTTGTCAATTGTAAGTTTGTAACAAAAGTGGAGCTATATTATTATCAGCCTAAGTCACAGAGTATTGTTGTTCAGAATCTTACGTAATTTCTTGTGAGTGCAAAGATTTAAGGGAAAATGACGGCTTGAAAATGTGATTTGGTTAATTTAACCCGGAAAAGAAGTGGTTTTATGCGTGTCATTTTCCTTTTGCAAAAAAAAAAAACAAAGATAAAAAATACTCCCTCTGTCCCAAAATTATTGTTCAGTTTGAGACTAAAAATGGAATTTCAAACTCAACAATAATTTTGGTACAGAAGGAGTAGAATGCTGCAAGAAACGGAGTACTGATTTGATATCATTTGGGTATCTTTGGCACACTGTTGTTCATCCCTTAAAGATGTTTGATTAGTTGGATTTATCCACTGTGGTGCATATTCACGTAACGGTATATTCTTCAAATTCAGTAGCCTTTGACTTGCTTCGGCTGAGCAGTCGCCCTAAGCTTTTGTTGGTACTTTCTAAAAGATATTGCCGTATCACATTGGACGGCATTTCAGTCAATGGGGTACTATCCTGGTTGAGGTTATCGATTGGTTTGCATAGACTGATCAACCTAGTAAATGAGGGAATGAATTCTGCAAACTGAACTTGCAGAAATTAGACTTGGTTGGGGAACTTTTGAGCGGAATGCGGAGGGATAAATGATAACCGTGTTTCACTTCACGTTGCTTGGTTTTGGTTACTCATCCCTGATTGATGAGTATGTTGGTTCGCGGGTTCTTGGTAGTTAGTTCTTGCAGTTTTCTCTCATTTAGGGGAAGAAAGGGTTTGACCTTGATGAGCTGCTTCTTAGCTTGGCACACACCTTTGGACAGATACTTTTGCAAATGTCGGAACAAAACAACAACATACCCAGTATAGTCCCAACTCAGTTGGGGTCCTGAGGGATAAGATGTATGTAGATCTTACCCCTATATTTCAATACAGAGAGGTTGTTTAAGTAGTACGGCCCAAGATGCATTAGTGTACTTCGAAAGTTTATAACAAAAGAGTTTGTAAAATATTCCATGGTAGTTATGCTTGAAAGTTTCTGTTTCTAAAGAATATATTGGACAAATATATATATGTAACTTCTAACAACCATGGGCCATGGTTGCGCAATCTAATCAAACATCTAACTCCCTTTTTTCATGGGTTTTTTTTTTCTTCTGTTTGTTTGTTAAGTTTGGCCTGCATAGAATATTAATTGATGATTGGAATGGGTTTGTTTGTACTATGATTATTTATGGACCTAGTGGAGAGCTAAACCAGGTAATCCATGTTTGATTAATATAGTGGAGTGGTTACATCTGATGACAATGTTGTCTTTTTAATACTAAGGGAAGTGGTGAATGTAATCACAGCAATACAGAGTCCATTATCTGATTTTGCTTCCTTCGATTGCCTTAACAGCAAAACATAGTTTGTAACAAAATGTCTCAAAATCCCACTTGTGCTGATCATATTTTAGCAATTCTAGAGTGTCTCCCCTTCAATCTAAATGTCAGGATAAGAAGGCATGTCAGGAACAAGAATGATCCAGATTCCACTTCTGCTGGTTCTGCTTTAGTTTATCTGACTGAGGAGTCTAGCCTCGCATCTGTCAGGAACAAGAATGATCCATATTCCACTTCTGTTGTTTCTGCTTTAGTTTATCTGACTGAGGAATCTAACTTCGGATCTGATTCTGAGTGGATACCAGTCAGAGTGGGTTTGGAACTCATTCAAACATTTCTTACATTTGTCTTGGAATGGAGCAATACTAGCGAGGTTGTTGACAAGCAGCTAGGAGATCTTCTACCCAGAATTGACTATGCATTTGAGACGGCGGGCCTCCTAATTTAAGCAGGCAGTCCAACGTGGAGATGATGCAAAGCACCACCTCGAGGTTGTCCGATCCAGCTTGCTGCAGAAGATTGAGTTATTCAAGCCAAGAATTAAAGAAGCATATGACTTTTTTGAGCATGCATTTGAAACAGGCAGCTTTCCTGTCATCAAATCGGATGATGTCTGGGTTCGGTTGTGTGACTGTACACGCACTAATGCATCGCATCTCAATTCTGAAACCCATCTGATCACTACGGCTCTGTTCGTGAAAGTTAAATACCTGCTAACCGGTGTCCAAGTCTTCAGAGAACCTTTCTTAAACAAAAGCTCTGATCGTCAATCATCATGGGACCTTGGGATTCGTATGGAAGGCCTTGCAATCTGTTTAGCACGCCTCCTGTTTTCGTGGTGGGCAGATGGCACGGATAAAGAGACTGATCAGACTGCCATGCTCTCAGACCTGCTGCAGTCAATTAAGCCCACTTCTCCAGAACTCTTGGGTGCATACGTCAAGGCCATCACAAACCAGGCTCACTGCCCAACTGGAGAACTTGCTTCTCACCTTGTAAGAATAATTCTTATTCCTTCAAACTTCGAATCACTTGAAACATTCCTTGAGAGTGGGCTAGTATCTCTTATATTATATTTGATCAAAACACTGGATACATATGCCACGGATGAGGATGTGGAATTACTGTATTCAGATATTGAAAAAAAAGTTTGTGATGCGGGCTCTTTGATTCAACTGCATGATGGTAAGATTGTACTTTTGCTTCAGAAGATTGAGCTTTCTAAACTAGAGAGTACTCTATTGACACTAACATCAAGTGCCTGGATTATTGAAAGAAAAATTGAATCCATTCACCAGGGGCTGAGGTTGTTGCAAACATTACTTCTCAAGTATCCGAAGGATGTGAATACAGAAAAGTTGATAATGATCATCAAGCGCATTGAGCTAGTGGCTACGGAGACAGAATCTCTCCAACTCGAGTTGGGAGCAAAACAAATTGATAAATCCAGCCACCATGATGCACTCAAGTATAAATTGTTTCTGGATTTTAGACTTGTGAAGATTCAAGCTTACTTGTTGGAGCAACGGATGATAAGTGATCCCAGTTTGATGATCCTTGTGAATGACAAATATCCAATCTCTCAATGAGGGATTGGAACTCCTTCACAAATATTTTTCAGTACTTCCACCAGAGAAGAACTTGAAGGCTGTAGAGATAGTGGATGAGATGGAAACACCTCTCCGCCACTTTTCTCGATCCAATCAGCAGGTTCCAGAAAACACCATCGACGAGATGTCAACAATCCTTTCTGATCTGCTGGAGCTGGTCAATATTTGTAATACAGACACCCGAGACAGCTATCTACAACTTCAGAACTCTTCAGCCCTTACCTTGCCAGAGACTACTCCTGATCAAGGATTGAGCAGTGTTGATAATTTCCTGGAAAAACTGAGTGGATTGGTGAAGGACAAGAATGATTGGATTGGATATTCAATGAAGGGTCAGACAGAAGCAGTCCTTAAGGAGCTAAGCTCTGTGACATCTTTCATGGAGGACGTTGGAGGGGAAAAAACAAAACGAGAACTCAGAGGAGAAAAATCTCCAGAAACGTGTCTGGCAGGAAGTTTATGAAGCTGATTATATCATTGACAAAATGTTACAAGGGAAATGATGATGATTGGTTGTACATGTTGTGGCTTTCTGATGTTATGGATGAAATGGCCAAAATTTCGCAAATAAAGTATGATTCCACTGAAGTAGTCAATGATGTTGTCCAGACTTGACAGGACATCAGAACGCGAACTGGAACTCCAGGAATTGGGAATGTTCGATTTTCAAATCCGGAATCAATTCAATGGGTGAAGAATGTGAGTTGGGAATGAGGTGAACTCTCAATCTCAGAAATTTCTCACTAGTCCATTGAATTTAGAAACCAATGTCTTGATGTTCTACTTCGAGTTTTAATAGCTGTCTATTGTTATTATTATTTACTTAATGAGCTAGTTAATACTTAATATGTCTCTGAGTATGAGCTTTCGGGCTTCGGCCAAAGCGCATTGCCTTATTTGTTGTTTCAGGGCTCTAATTCTGAAATAAAAAAATACTTATATACATAGACAAAGTGATATTTCCTCCTGCTCTATTTATAAGTCACTTATATACATAGACCTGATTTAGTTTTTGGTTTATTGTCTAGGAATTCATAAACTCATAAACTACATTACAGATTTACAGTATACATTTCCTACCATTGTTTTTTACTGGCAAATATGGCGAGCCAACAACAAATGAATCAAGGGGAATAATTTTAATTTGTGGGGTTGGTTAATTTGTGCTGCTCATTGACCTTTTGTACTGCTGAAAGTAAAAAACCGAGGAATATTTTAAATTTTTTACTCTCTCTAATGCAAAATTATTGTTCACCTAATGTTTTAATACAAACTATACTAAAAATAAAAATCCAAATTGATAATCATTTAGGATGGAGGAGTATAATATTATATCGAGACTGTGCTTGCAACTAACTACTAAGCATGCGCCTTCCTGCTACTGGCTGCTCAATCAGGTCAACCTCCGTCTCCTTATTTTTCATGTTCTTTATTGGTTTTGTTTAAGGCCGGCATGGATGACTGGAATATGGTGTTATTTTAATGGTATGGTTGGTATGGTATACCTGCCCTAGCAAGAAAACAAAGAAATAAGTCACACTCATTTGGTGGAGTGTGTGTATCCGCTGACAATTTTGTCTTTCTTTTAATCAAGTAGAAGTCTTTCTTTGAGAACTTTAATTGCAATTACAGAAATACAGAAAGCAAAAAAACTGAATCTGCTCACCTACCATTCAGAATCTCAGACAAGATGTGCGTTGATCATGTTTTAGAGCTTATAAGCTGCCTGCCGTGCAATTTGTGCCATAGGATGAAAAGGTATGTCAGGAACAAGATTGATCCGGGTGCCACTTGTGTTGATTCCGCTCTTGAAAATCTGAAGTCCTCTAACCTTGTTGATTCTGAGCCCGGGTGGATCTCAATCAGAGTAGGGCTGGAAGTGATTCAAACATTTCTCACATTTGCTCCGAGATGGTGTGATGCTGATAAAGTTGTCCGTCATCAGCTGGGAGATACTATAAGCAGCATCGAAGATGAATTTGAGACAGCAGACCTTGAAATGGAACGTGCACTTGGAAAACAAGGAGATGCTCTCCGGTCCACCAGGTTGCAGCAGAAGATCCAGCTAGTGAAGTCAAGGATTAGAGAATGTTATGACTTCTTTTTTGAGTACGCATTCGAAACCAACCCCCCTGATCCTCCTTTGTTCAAATCTGAATTCATCTGGAGTCAGTTCTGTCATGGCCTGCATTCTAATGCATTGCATCTCCATTCTGAATCCCATTCTTCCGCTACTTCTATGTCTTTGCATTTTAAAGATGTTGTTTCTGCCTTACGAAAATTTGGAGAAGCTTATTTCATATATGCTCAGTATCTAGAGTACATTGAAAAACGCTTAGGAAGGGATGGTTGGTGGAGGAGCAAAGCCAGAGTTCTTCAATCATTGTCGATTTTCACATTTCGAGTTCAACGTGCTGCCATCTGTTTAGCCCGCCTCCTGTTTTTGTGGTGGGTTGAGGAAACGGATGAAGACAAGAAGATTACCATGTTCTCAGATCTGCTGCAGAGAATTAAGCCCACTTCTACACCATGCTTGCGCATGTATGTCGCAGCCATTCAGGAGTATCAGACAGCTTGGATTCATGTATATAGGGAAGGTAGAAGACAGGATCGCACCAATCTTTGTGCTTCTGATCTTGTTAGAATGTTTCTCATTCCTTCTTCAATGGAGCCTCTTGAAACATTCCGTGACGGGCTCCTGTCTCTCATAAGATATCTAAGCGGTCATTATGTACCAGAGGGTAAGCTGAAATCAAGTATTGAAAAAGTTGTTTGTGATGCGGCTTGTCTGCGGTACTTCCCAGTCCCGAATTCCAATGATGAACTTGTGCTTTTTAAGCTGCTTCAAAAGATTGTACTTTTCAAACTAGAGATTGTTATGAGGACTTTAAAAGCAGGTGACTCCATTTGGGAAGGAACATTTGAATCAATGCAAAAGGGGTTGAGATTTCTTCAAACAAATCTTAAAAATCCACAGGATGTGAACTCTGAAAAGTTGATATTCATCTTCAAGCGCATTGAACAAGTGGTTTGGGAGGCACGATCTCTCCAACTGTCATTGCAGCCGAACCAAGTCAGAGTCGGCAAGCACCATGATGCACTCAAGTTTAAGTTGTTTCTGGATTTCAAGCTTTTGAAGATTCAGGCTTTCTTGATGGAACAGATCAGATCGTGTCAACCCCATTTGATGATTCTTGTGAAAGAGAAAATTCAGTTGCTAAACGAGGGATTGGAACTTCTGTATAAGTATTTCTCAGTACTTCCACTGGAGAACCACGGTGATAAGGAGATGATCTTGACCTGTATTGAGAGACTGTACGAGGATCATGAACATCTCTACTACTTTTTTCAATCCAATCCGGTTGCAGACAACACCATCAACAAAATGTCAAAATCGATCTCCAATTTGCTGAACAAGGTCAATCTTCTGAATTCAGAGATCCAAGACACTTATCTCCAATTTTGGAGCTCATTTGTTCTTACCTGGCCAAAGACTCATCAAGGCTTGGGCTTTGTTGATCTTTTGCTGGAAAAGCTGAGAGGATTGATGCAATACAAGGCTGATTTTATTGGATACTCACTGAAGCCTCAGATTGAATCAGTCCTTACGGGGCTAGAATCCCTGAGATCGTTCCTGGAGGTGGTTGGGGAAAAGCGAAATGAGAATCCGAAGCTGAAAGATCTTCGGAGACGAGTTACTCAAGCAGCATATCAAGCCGATTATATCATCGACAGGATTCTACTCGTGGATTGTGATTGGTGTCATATGTTGTGGCTCTCTGATGTCGTTGATGAGATTAAATTCATTCAGTCAGAGTTTACCAAACTTAATCAAATGAAGAATGGTCTTGCTGAGTCCGAGGATGTTGTCCAGACTTCGGAGCACACCATGACACAATCTGAAACCCCAGAAGTTGGAGAGGTGGTGCCTCTGAAGGATCAAGAAGAGATAATCATTCATCGACTCAAAAGAGGGTCATCTCAGCGGCGCCAAGTTGTAGCAATAGTTGGCATGCCTGGTATTGGAAAAACCACTTTAGCCAGAAAAGTGTATGAGAATCCTCAGATCAGTAAATACTTTCACAGAAACGCTTGGTGCTGTGTTTCTCAGGTATACAGGAAGAAGGAGATATTGCTTAAGATTTTAATTGATGTCACAAAAGATGAGATTGATGACAAGAGTGATCAAGAGTTCCGTAGCGAGAGTGTACAGGAGCTAATTGAGATCCTGCGCAAGCGTTTGAAGAGAAAACGGTATCTAGTTGTTCTGGATGATGTATGGAGCTCTGAAGCATGGGAAGAACTGGAAACTGCTTTTCCAGACGATCTCAATGGAAGTAGAATCTTGATCACCAGTCGCTATGAGGAAGTGGGCTTGGAAGCTCAACGTGATAGTGATCCTCATCGTCTTCGTTTTCTCACACAGGACGAAAGCTGGAAGTTATTGCGAGAAAAAGTATTTCACAAAAATGATTGCCCTCGGGAACTTGAGCAAGTCGGGCTGGAGATTGCAAAGGGCTGTAACGGCTTACCTCTGGCCATTGTTGCAATAGCTGGTGTCCTCAACGCTACAGAGGAGAAAGCTGATTCATGGAAGCAAATTGAAAAAGATTTGAATTCCCGTATTCTTGAAAATCCTGAAGTCCAGTGTATGCACATCCTCGAGTTGAGTTACAATCATCTGCCAGATGACTTAAAACCTTGTTTTCTGTACTTTGCAGCATTTACAGAAGACACTGAGATTCCCGTTCAAAAGCTGATCCAGTTATGGGTTGCTGAAGGGTTCATAAGAAAAGATGATCGGAAAGCATCACTGGAAGATGTGGCAGAGAGTTATTTGATGAATCTCATTGCTAGGAGCTTATTGATGACTGCCAAAATAGGATCCAACAGCCGGGTCAAAGCCTGCAAAGTTCATGATATGTTACATAGCTTGTGTTTGAGTAAAGTCGAGGAAGAAGGCTTTCTGCACTGCATAAACGGGTATGAGAAACTTTTTCCTTCATCTAACAGTCGATTTGACTATGGTGTTGATTCTGAATATCAGCCAAATTCAATAGCATATGAGAAACATCGGCTGAGTATTTTTTGTAAGAGGAAGCATTTTGTTACGTTAAAGCCTTCTGGACAATCAGTTCGTACTCTACTTTTCTTTGCTGCCAGTGACTCTTATCCAAGATGTCCTTATGATGTATCTTTTATCGCTCAAAAGTTTAAACTTCTTAGAGTGCTGGACATTGAGGATATCAATATCGGCCAGTCTTTTCCAGACGGCATAGAATTGCTTGACCGGCTAGGGTATTTAGCAATTAGCGGGAATGTAGACTCTGTTCCATCAACTATAGCACAGCTATGGAGCTTGAAAACTTTGATTGTGCATGGATTGGTAGGAAAGGTTGCATTACCGCACACTATCTGGATCATGTCAAGTCTGAGGCATCTTCATGTGAACTCCCGTGCCATTTTCTGTTTTCAAGATGGGAATACTCAGGATTCCTTAAAGTTAGATAATGTACTTACTCTTTCCTCACCTGTTGTTTCGCATGGGGATGATCTGGAGGCCATCCTGAAGAAGTTTCCCAAACTAAGGAAACTATGTTTCATTTTTTCTGTACCAGCTCATCAATCTGAGCCCTGCATCTGCTTTCTAGTCATGGACATCCTAACAGAACTTGAGTCGCTAAAGATAATCTACGAAGGTAGTGCTCTTCATTCCTGTCAATTCAGCTTCCCTTTGAAACTCAGGAAGTTGTCGCTCTCGGACTTCAGCTTAAGATGGGATGACTTTTCTGCCATTGGAGAACTATCCCAACTCAGAGTTCTCAAACTAGTTTCTATATCCTTTGACAGCAAAATATGGGACATGAATGATGGTGAATTCAAACAGCTTGAATATTTAAAGTTGGAATCTCTTAAGATATCTGAGTGGAATGCATCTAGTGATCACCTGCCAAGCCTTCAGCAACTAATCCTGCGAAGCTGCACCCAACTTCAGGAAGTCCCTTCTAGTTTAGGGGAAAGTATAACTCTGCAGAAAATCGAATTGAAGTGGTGCAGCGCCACTGCAGAAGATTCAGTCAGGATGATTCATGAGCAACAGGTTGAGTATGGAAACGAGGGATTCAAGATCGATATCAATACTTCCGCCGCAGATTCCAGGTCTTCGTAATGATTGCTGATCGTGTAGGAGTTTGCAGTTTCTGCTTGTGTAAGTTATTCTACGGCGTAATGGTTTGATGTTGTTATTGACCTCAGTGAATATTTCGTATTTGTACTAATTCTTCAATATTTGTTTATCTCAGAAACTATAAGTCTGTTCTAATGAGCTTGAAAAGCATTGGAGGAAGTCATTGAAGCTCACTCTTCACTGGAGATTGTTGTCCAATAAGTGCGGTTGAACTCTGCACATTTGGTAGCTTGTCTTTTGAGCCATTGAAAGCTAATGAATTCCCTAAATTTGGAGATCTTCACAGCAGTACATTTGAGGAGAAATAGATTCTAATCGTTTCTGTGCTATTTCTGTACTTTGAATACTACTATAAACATGGGAAGTTCACATCTGAGAGTGGCTTTGCTTCTTAATTCACAATTCACTAGCTTCTGGTAGTCACTCCCATTACTAAAAATAATGCGAATAAATGTATCATTATTAATCTGTAACTATTCATTTTTACTGATTCCACTTCCTGGATTAGGCTGTGTTGATCATTTCTTCGAAAATCTGAATGGATTGATGAAGGATACGAATGATTGGATTTTTTTTTTTTTTAATTAAGGGTCAGGGTCAGACAGAAACAGTCCTTAAGGGGCTAAGCTCTGTGAGATCTTTCATGGGGAGGAGATGGAAAATCTCCTCTGTACAGTATTGATTTTATTTTTATGCAACTCCTTTTTATTTTGGTTGATTGGAAACCTGATGGAATTGTAAGTTTCTGTTGTGAAGCAAATTATCTCAGTGACTTTCTCCATCCTAATCTGGTTAAATTAATTGCAATCATTATAATTTAGTGGGAATGTGTCATTTTTACAAACCATAGCTTGAAAAATAACCCTTAAATCCATGGCCGAAGACATCCATTTCTTTGTAAATGAATGTCTGCAGGGCTATGTCTTGGATATTTAGGGACTTTGTGCAATACGTTTTTATTTTTTTAAAATGAATCTCTGCAGGGTTATCTTCTGAACCTGCATGTACCAATACTTTTAGGTACTTTGAATTAATTAGTTATAGAGGAACTTGTTAAAAGACAGGCAGGTTGACTGATTGCAGAGTGAGTCACGTGGTGAGGAAGCAAGGGAAAGAGGGAGAGATTGTGATGGAGGAGAGCGCTGAGGACTTCACGATTTAATTTCCAACTTGTTAAATCACTTCTTTCAATTGATGAAACCTGCCGAATCAATTGCTGTTGGAGGCGGGTTGGCGGTGCTGCCAGAGGTGGAAATGCTGGTGTTGCTGGTGAGGTTTTCGCAGTGGCTCTGGTTGAGGTTTCGGTGGTGGTGGTGAGGGGTTGTTGGTGGTGGCACTCGAGGTGGTGCAGGCGGAGGATTTGGCGGTGGTAGTGGTCGAAGATTTGCAGGTATGTACTTGGTTTCATTTAAACCCCTGTATTTGTAATCTAATTGAATTATGATATTAACTTTATGGATTTCCAGATTTACAATACAAATAGGAAATTGGATTTCAATGTGTCCAATTGATTTCCTTTTCCTTTTTGTTTTCCGATTTCTGTTACAAAAGTATACAGCTAAAACCGGCAACTTGTATATACCAATGATGCTCATCCGAATTCTTACATCAACAAAGAACTTGTCTAAAGTCGGGTTCTGTCCCGCGGATGCTCACCATAGGTCCCCCTGTCATCAGGTTTAGTTTTTCCCACTTGATCTTAAATTTTTTGAACCTTTTGTAAGTTTTGTGAACTACAACGTATTGAAATATTACCCGAACTTAGTTATGTACTCCAACGTTCTTATAAGGATTGCTAATTGGTTGTTGTAGTTCCTCGTCCTGAAATCGGCTTCAAGCAAGTTTTCGTTTGCCCATGAAGTGAATTTCAAAGCTTCTTCATCTATTTGCATGCTTATTGTATTAAGTGTAGCATAAATAATATTTCTCTCCTGTTGTGTTCATGTTATCTTCTTTTGAAAGGAACTAACAAATTGAACAAAACTTTGGAGGTACAATGCCTAAAATCACCTAGCTGTTTTACACATTCCAATTCGTATACGATTAGTAACCGAATCCAATTTGTATACGAGCAAGGAGCGAGAGAACCAAGTTGGCAATCCTATGACGAATGCAATTGTACTCGAATGGAATCACCATGTTGGATGACGGGTGAGAAAGAAGTCATGCTCTGCCAACTGTATAGCTGAATAACTATCACAGTTCAATGGGACTGGATAGTCTAATATGGCCTAGAAAGTTTTTCCCCTTCAGAAGCACAAGCTATCTAATTCAGTGCCCCTACCACTATCCTTTTTGTTACAAAGACTGGATAAAACAATGTGCCCCAATCCCATTGATTCTTGGTTTTGGTGGAAGTAGCCCCTCACGTACTATTTCTGGGAGCAATAGGTATGTGTTGGACAATATATTATTTTGTCTTATTATCGAATCATATGATTTAGGGCCACTTTGAGATATGTATTCTTGGAATTTGCTGGATGGTGATGAATATATTTGTTGGACTACTTGTAGTTTTTCTGCATAAAATTCTAAACAAAAGTAAACTGATTCCGTGTATGATGCCTTTTTTCACGTACTTGATTGCGGAGAGTATTTTAAGTCTGTAATGAGGAAAATTTGCAAATAAAAACTTACGTATGTGTTTAAGAGGCGTTTGATTTTGCTTCAATACTTTTATTATAGATGATGTATTCTGGGGAGACTCTAGATGTGGCATTTTTCTGCAATGGAACCTTTTAGTTCCAAACCCATAAAGGATTAGATGTAGTAGTCGTAGACTTTACTTGTGTGTTTTAGGAGGCATCTTTCACAGATACAAATTAGTGGATAAAAGCAAGAATAAACACATGATATTTCCTACTCTTTGACCTCAGAATTTTTATTTGGTTTCTTCCATAGCGTTAGTTTTAGTTTACTAAATTTAAGTAGTATTTGTTAGGATGAAAGAAGTATTGTGAGTAAAGCTGTGGGGAGAATCATTATGGTTTTCTTAAATTAAACATTCCATAGCTAGCCTTGAGTTTCACAAATATATTTCATGCTAGCTGGCTTCACTGCTTTTATAAATATGAAAAGGATTTTCGATTATTGTTTCCAACAAGATTTCCTTTAGGTGTTACATGAACTGGGTTGTGTATCATCTTTGGATTTCGAGGGGGTAGGAACTTGCAATGCCAGAATTATAAGGAGTGTTGCTGATATCTCACAGGAAAGCAAGACTTGTGGCCGAGGAGGTACTGCTCTTAACTCCTGTGAAGAAAGCTAGAACAGGTAAAACGATTAAACTCATCAATGGAACTTTTTTACTATTATATCAATTTTAGCATTTTACTGAGGAAGAAAGGTTTTTCGCTACAACACTTGGATAGAAGTATTCCAGCCCTCTTAGCATCATCAATGGAACTTTTTTACTACTTTTTGGGTTCAGCTTTTTGTCTTTATTCAGTTCATATTGAACTTTTGAACTTTTACAATTGTGATTTCATGTTGCTTTGTATAGTTTACTTATACATACTCATATTGCTTTGAACTTTTGCACATTTCTCATATTTTATGTTTTATCATTGTAATTGAGTAAATGGCATAAGAAGAATAGGAAATGGAGCAAAATGCTGCAAAATTGTTGTAGTTTCACAAGTGTTGGTCGAATTGAGCAAGCCAGTTTTGAGGACTCGTAACATGAACTAGAAGTCTCCATTTGGAATGAACAACATATGCTTGCGAAGCCCTAACTGAGAACTAAAACTGCCATGAATCACACTTCTACAAAATCAGTTCATAAATGCGTAAACAATGCAGTTGAAATCTCAGCTGTCAGAACTAAATAATGAAGTTTGCAGAACATCAGCAACTCTCAGGCAGATTTCAAAGACCATAACTTGATTTCCAAAACTCAGATTTGGAAGTTCTTTATATCGTTGCGAAGCTCAAAGAGAGAGCCAACTCTGTCATGAAGAACATTTCTCCGAATTCAGGCTTTTCAGTGGCCAAAAATGCAGTTGAAAATATGTTGTCAGAACTGATAAACAAAAATCTGCAGACTTCAGCAACACTCTGTCAACTTCCAGAGAGCATAACTTGAATTTCAGACCTTGAATTTAGAAATTCTTCATATGGTTGTATAGCTGGAAGAGAGGGCTACAACTTCTCTTCAGAATTCAAATCCAAATTTTGGCTAGAAATGGACAAAACAGTGTAATGAAACATGTTACCCAGTTCTAAAAAAATGAAATCTCAGCAAACATGAAGAAATGGACATGAATGCAAGAATCTTCAATTTGAATTGGAAATCAATCAAAAAGGGCTGGAATTCAATGAAAAAAGCAATTGGAACCCCAAGGAAGGAAAACTCATCAATTCCAGCAGTTGTATCAGGCAAATCCGACAAGGAATTAGTGGCGACCAAAACTTTTTCCGGCGAGAAAGAAGCAAATGGCAACCACATGAAGATGCAAAAATTCAGCCCAAATCGAGCAATATAAATTGGAGGTTTCAGAGAGGTGAACGTTTGGCAAAAGTCCGGTGAAGATTAGGCAGCTAGATCTCGAGTTTGTTGTGTCAGAATTATGGCGGCGATGGCCGGAATTGGAGCTGCAGCCTGGCTGGAAAGTCTGATCGAAGAGGAAGTTGAATAACTTCCAAACATTGCACAAAAGTCCCCGCGTCCAGTGACCCTTGCAACTAAAGGCTTCCGGTCTTCATTTGGGCCCCAAATGTTATGAATATTGCGCAAAGCAGACTAAAAGTCCAGCGATTCTTCGCTTTGAAGGACGGCTAATTGCTCCTACTACTTTCCTGCACTTAAACTTTTGATCCAACGTCCCCATTCCCTATAAATACTACTTTGTACACAAATTTAAAAACTTTTGTCTCATTTTTCAGCACTTCTAATTTAAGTTTAAGCTTTCTTCTTCATTTCTTAGCTTAGGGTTTACATCTTTACATCTTTTAGTTAGTTTTAGCTTGTAATTAGTTTAAGGAAGGTATAGAGGCATAAAAACCATGGAAGCTGCACTTGCTTTGCATAGAAGAATGATTTCAGGAGGAATTTTTTTTTTTTTTTATTTGGCGACATATACTACATCAATTGATGGTCTTTTGAAAGATGGAAAACTACTTCTTGCCTCGAATTTGTACATGGAGATGCTTGCGAAAGATATCGTGCCTGACGCTGTCACTCACTTTGTACTTCTGTTTTTGAAGATTCTCCTCGTCTAATGTTTTAATCCAATATTATCAAGCTCTATGTCATTGTCGTATAGTCTTATTGGTCAAGTTTAAATCCAACTTTTCTTTCCCTATTCGACTTTATGATGTTTTCAAGTTTTGAAAAGTACTCTAGACAAGACATAATCTCTTCCAACATCGTACATCATTTCAACACTAGCTTTTGAAGACCAAAATAGTCACAAATAAAAACAAAAGCAATTTGGATAAATCATTGGAGGCTTTGTATGATAATAAAGGTCTTCATTTTCCTGTTTTCTTTTGGGGACAATTTCTTGATAGGATGATTTGGTGGTGAGTAGTGGGTACAGAAAGATTTCGAAGCCAATTAAGCCTAGGTAAACATCGGGGATTTTCAAATTGTGTTTGCAGGGGTGAAATGCCCAAAATTTTATTTTGCAAAGGCAAAAATCTTTTTTAAAAAATTAATTTATACTAAAAATTCAAAACACTCCTTAAACAAAAATTCCGGTGAGAGGGTAACCACCGTCGCTGGTCCCCCTAGCTCCGCCATTCATATTTACCACATCTCCGGCCGAAGGAACATATTGCAAATCAGCAGAGTCAAATGTCCCTTTCACAAGTGTCTCAATTGCAGAAAGTGCCTCCCAATTCACATAATGTTACTTGTCCGCACAAATTGTGCCTTTTTTAGTCCGACAATTGCTTGGGTTTTTTGTAAGGTATTCAGTAGTGGATTATCTCTGTATTAATGAGAATATATATTGATTGTTAACAAATCTTTTCACCATATTGTAATCCTTGGAAATCTATTTGAAAATATCCTTGATCTGTCATTTATTAGACTTCTTTTCTCTCCTTTTGCATTAAGATTAATGTCATATTTTAATTCTATAAGATTACTTGGAAATAGAATTCTTAATTTTTAGACAGTCGAGTCTGGATTTTTTTTCTGTAATGTTGGCTTAAAAAAAAAAATCTAAACGATAACCAAAATACCATTTGAACCACTTATGAACTTTTTATTATTAATGTTTATTCATTTCAAACATTGTACTATAAAACACATTCTATTTTAAAAATATTATTGCTAACATTTATCTATAACAAAATAAAAATACAAACTCACACATTCATTTAAAATACACTGAAAAAATAAACCGGTCGCGCAACGCGCGACTACAAACAACCTAGTATAACAAAATGGCTCTGTATTTATCAATTGCCATAGTCTATAATATAGCGTAGCATTTTTCACCATTTACATTCTTTTTAATGTACATATTTTTTATTTTAGTTATTTTTCCTTATTATAAGTTATATTTATATTTTAGACAAAATCTTAAAAAAATTATATGTTACTAGAAATGTGTCAAAGTGTCAAGAACTTGAACAAAAAAGTATTAAAAAAAAGAAAGGACTAAAAGAATATTTTTTAAAATAATCATGCAAGACGACAAAAAAAATATAAATGAAACTTTTAATAAAGAAAAATTCATTAAAATAAAACAAATATGTACGTCAAATATAATAAACACTGGAAGTCTGGAAATTTTTGACCAAAAATCTAAGTGCAATTTGTTGAAATTTTATTGAACATCAATAAAATTTATGATGCAATTTGCTCTCTTCCAAAAGTTTGGGGGCAAAACAAAGCTAGTTAGGAAAAAAGTTTTATTAATATCGCTTTTTTGCCCTTGAAAATGTACTTAAGACAACAAAATTCAAATATAAAGTATATGATTTGGGGAGACTAATTCTTAGAATACATGATTTGGAGACCTTTTATTCTTAGGCACATAAATTGGATTTTTCCTTTTAATTTAATAAGTTTGAGGTTTCCCCCAAAGGATGAATAACAATCACCCCATATTCGAGGTTCGGGTTGCCGCTAATGGAAGCATACCAAATTCTGCGGCTTACATACTGAAGCTTCTCCACCGGGAACGATCATCAAAGGTGGTGTTCCAAGCCATCGGTCAAGCGATCCCCAAGGTTGTGGCCATTTTAGAGGCAGTAACCCAATTAAAGGGGGCAGCTCGTCGGGTTACAATTATAATCAACCCCCCAGAATCTAATTCACATTTGCCTCGGAACGGGAGACACAAACGTTGGCATTAGAAATGCACGAATGGCCGCGCTAATCGCCAGACCACACTGATCTCCACCTCTTTCTCCTTGGGCCGGCAGGAAAGACGGTAGCGTCGATAAAAAACCACACCAGGTATGGCGTGAAGTGCAAAAAGATCACCCAATATATATATGGACACTTCTCCCTGTGCACAGCGCTAGGTCGTGAACACCGGCGAATTTCCCGACATCGGAAACGACCGCTTGTAGGTGGTTAGTTCAGAGATGGTGGGGCGGCGGGAACCTAAATAGACAGCTAACGTGGCGGCTGTAGGGGAAATGCCTCCTCTGGACTGCCAACACAAACTGGATGGACTGGGCCTTAATGAAGTAAACAAGCCCATGCTGACTCATGCTGATGGGCTAATCCAAAAGCCAATTAATGGCCCAATGCAAGCAAAACCTTCCTGCAGTCTAAAATTGGATGTCCCAATTGCAAAAGACCCAACTATACTCAACTTCTTTCTTCCACCGCCGTGGCCCAATTGTTCACTGGTATCCACCCAGACGGCCACTCTTTCGAACACGAAACGGAGCCCTTCTCCCATTGTAGATAAGTCTGGTAGTCGTCGAAAGCTCAATTGTTCTATGCATTCTGAGAATGAGGAATTCAACAATGTGGAGCTGTCAAAAGGAAAGAAAATGTGCCGGTCTCCATCTGATTGGGTTTCGGTGGTTGCCCAAAGCAATCACCCTCTGAGCAATGAGACTTCTATCTTGGAATTGTAGAGGTCTTGGCCAACCCTCTACAATACGCATGCTGACTAAATCATATCGTCCCCAGGTACTTTTTCTAATAGAAACCCGCTCTTCTGTACCGCGTTTGTCTAAATGGATGGAAACTAGTTCTTTTGTTCATATGGAAGTAGTTGACCCTATAAATACCTCTGGAAATAGAGCTGGTGGTTTAGCCCTTTTCTGGTCAGATGATGTACATATTAATGTCGTCGTTAAAACTCAGAATTTTGTGTGCTGTAAAGTAGTTGAACTTAATGGTTTTGAATGGTTGATGGTTTTGGTGTATGGTCCTCCCCTGGTTGTAGATAGGCCTACTATCTGGCAGCAACTTCTTGCTACTATCTCACCTTTAGAGTATCATGTTCTATTTGCAGGGGATTTCAATCAAGTGTTATCCCCTTCTGATAAGTTTGGGGGGCGTCTTTTTAGCTCCTCAGGCTTCCCCGCTTTTAAACCTTACCAGTTCCTTGGGTTTAACTGAATTACACCATAAGGGGGTCTGGTATACATGGACGAATAATAGGGACTCCACATCGTGTGTTTACGAGCGCTTTGATAGGGCGTTGGCCTCCCATACATGGTTGGCATCCTTTCCCTATGCCTTATTACGTAATCTACCTATTATGCGGTCTGATCATGGGCCCATGATCATTGACACGCGATACCATCCTCAAAAATTCACTCCCAGGCCGCAGTTCGAAGCCTTCTGGGTTAAACATCACGCTGCTCACCAAATTGTTGCTAGTTCTTGGGCTGGCCTATCCTTAACTACAACATCAATGCAACTTGTCTCTACCAAGCATGATGCTACCTTGCGTCAGCTATCCAATTGGCATCGGCAGTCTTTCAGGCAGCTAGACCGTCGCATTCACCTCCTTCAGCATAATTTGGAAAAAGCACATAGCACTCTTCCTTCTGACCATCTTTAAATCTCTAGTGAACAACAAATGAGATTACAGCTTGATCAACTTTTAGACTTCCAAGACTCTTATTGGAGGCAGAGATCTCACATTACTTGGAACCTAGAGGGTTATCGTAATACAAGCCTATTCCACCATTGGGCCACCCGCCGCCAAGCTCGCAATTGGGTCTCTGATCTGCGAACTCCAAAGGGTTCATGGGAAACAAGTCCACTTGCTCTTTGCCGTATGATAACAGACCACTTCTCTTCTGTTTATACTCAACCAGAGGTTTATCCTCCTTCCCCACCTGGACTGGGACTACAAGCTTCTCAGATAGATCTTAATGATCTCCTGCAGCATCTACCTACCCTTTCCTCTGATCAATTGCTCCAGCTGCAGCATCCCATTACTGAACGGGAGATCAAGTATGCTCTTTGGACAATGTAGCCGTGGAAAACTCCTGGACCGGATGGTATGCCGGCTGGTTTTTTCCAACACTATTGGAATGATATTAAGGATACTCTAATTCCAGCTATCCTTAGTTTTTTTGAAACATCAGTTTTAGATGACTCTGGTCCTCATTTCAAAGGTTCGAGTGCCCAAGGTTCCATCAGACTTTCGTCCTATCAGTCTATGTAATGTTTCTTATAAAATCTTTGCTAAGATCTTGGCTACCCGCCTTAGACCTATTATGCCTTCTTTGGTCACTGCACCTCAAATGGGTTTCATTCCTGCTCGATCCATCAATGAGAATGTTCTTATCGCGCATGAACTAATGGAGCACATTCGTCGTCGAACAAAGCCTAAGTCTGGTTTAGCCGCCCTCAAAGTCGACATGAGTAAAACTTATGACCGGGTTTCTTGGTCATTTATTCAACAGGTCTTACGTCGCATGATTCCTTCAATGTGGTTGGCTTACATCCAACAATGAGTTGAAACAGTTTCCTTTGATGTACGTTTTAATGGGCTTCATTCTCCAATCTTTTCCCCCTCTCGTGGCCTCAGGCAAGGGTGTCCATTGTCTCCTTTTTTCTTTATTTTGGCACAACAACCTTTTTCTTCTGTTTTGCAATATTATAAAGGCCACAAAACTGGTATAGGCGTTCAAGTTGCGCGACAGGCTCTGTTAGTCTCTCACCTTATGTACGCAGATGACTGCATTCTATTCTCTCACGCCAGGATCTCTATATTCTACCTTCTTTCGCATATCATTGATGGTTATTGTTGTCATTCTGGTTAGCGCCTAAATTTTGAGAAATCTTCCATGGCTTTTAGTCCCAATACTCCGATGCATTTGCAGACTTTTCTTCGACATATTGTGCATATTGATCAGAATTTTCAGGCCAATAAATACCTTGGAATGCCACTCGAACTTAGCCGTAATCGGGGTGTCATCTTTTCTGACATACTTCACAAGGTCCAAGGGAAAATTGCCACATACAAGATAGAGTCTTTATCTGTTGTTGGTCGCATGGTTTTGGCTCGGCATGTGCTGTCTTCACTTCCTCAATATGCTATGGGGATTTTTAAGCTCCCAGAGTCGATCAACCATGGTATTAATAAACAACTTGCTCGTTTCATCTGGCAAGGAGATCACGATGGGTACAAAATTCACTGGGAAGCTTGGTCTACCGTTTGTAAATCTCGGTTTCATGGGGGCCTTGGTATGAGATCTACAGGTGCTATGAATCAAGCTTTGTTAGCACGACTTGCATGGAAAATCTTTACAGAGCCTTATGCTCTGTTGTCCTGCATTTACAGTGCTAAATATTGTCGACGATCGGCTTTTCTATCGGTCCAACCTGGTCAACATGCTACTTGGGGTTGGAGAGGAGTTTGATGGGGTCGCGATTTGTTGAAATCAGGCCTCAAATGGCAAGTGGCTCACGGAAAGGACATTCCAATTTCAGCTAATTGGATCCCATGTATGCCTAATCCGTTATCATATGATTTGGCATTTGCAGCTGGTTCTTCTCTCCATGTCTCCCACCTTATTCAGGAAGTTGGAGGCTAGAACATTCCCTTGCTTCAGGCCCTCTTTCCAGCCCATATGGTTCAACGCATCCTCAAAATTTACCTCCCCAGTCCAGGTAACCATCATAAAGACCGCATATATTGGAGCTTAGAACCTGATGCTGTTTATTCAGTTCGATTAGGTTACCATCAAGCCTGCAATTTGTGAGCCAATGCAGTAGCATCACCATCAACCTCTGCCCCTGCTATGTCTGTTCCTTCGGAAGTATGGAAGAAGCTTTGGACAGCTGCTCACCCGGAGCGTATCAAATTTTTTGTTTGGCGAGCTTTATCCAATGCTTGTCTGACAACACAAGCACTGGCTCGTCGTGGTATTTCTCCAATTCCTCTTTGTGTTCGTTGAGGTTTGAAAGATGAAACTGTTGGGCATATGTTGTTGGATTGCGAGCGTCCCCATCTCATTTAGAGATTGTCTTCATTTGGCTTCGATTTCTCGATTGGAGATGTTCGTCCTTTCACAGAATGGTTTGTGGATTCAATGCAGAGTGCACCTAGTGATGAAGCTCGCTGTCAGTCCATGTTTCTACTACAGGAGATCTGGAAGGATCGTAATCGTCAGGTTCTTGGTGATGGTGATCTCCCCTTGCCTCATTTGGTGGTCTCTTCAGCTTTATCGGCATTCCAGGAATATCAGTCCATCCCTTCTACCATACCATTTGATCCAGGTGGTAGTGAAAGTGGTTGTCAGGCCTTGTGGTCCCCATCATTCCCTTGTTTGCAGGTTGATGGTGCCTTTTCTCCTTTGCAAGAAGTTGCAAGGGCTAGCTGGGTGTTTTCCTCGCCTATGGGAGTTATTCTATCGTCAGACAGTTGTGCTTTCCTGGCAAGTTCTTCTTTACAGGCAGAAGATTTTGCTTGCCTTGTTGCGTTGGACACAGTGGACTCATTGGCTCACCCGAGGTTGCAGCTCCACACAGACTGTTTGGTGTTGGCTAAAATTCGCCATAATCATACGAACCCTCTAGTGGAGGTGGCTTTCTAGTGGAAGACATTCGTCAGCGTTTATCATGTTTTCCTGAGTTTATTATTTCAAAAGTTTCACGTTCACAAGTGCATGAGGCACATGTTCTAGCTGGACAAGCGTGTCGTATACCTTTTGTATTGGCTTGACCTGCTGTTTTACTTTCTTGCATTCATATATATATATATAAAGCACATTGTGCTGGTTTGTTAAAAAAAAAAAACTTACGATCTTCTTTGATCATTTGGTTTGGACTATGAATTTATGGGCAAAAAATCCAACTTGCGATGATTTTTTGTTTTTTTTTTTTTTTCTTTTGATTTGGTATGACAATTTTCTATATCTCTATATATATTAAAGGAGAGTTTTCAATCGGACACATGGCGTAAAATTATACATGTTAATCCACATGTCATAAAATTAGAAAGTCAAGTCCACATGTCGCAACCACATCACTCCATCATTTAGTGGTAAGTTTTTATTTGTAACTCTGTAAAATTTATAAATAACCAATTTATAGATTATATTACTTAAACGAAATATATTACAAAAACTAAAAAAGAAATTCAATTATGGGCCCGAAAGAAAGTGTAGTTAATTTTTTTCAAATTTCCCACGTATAGTGAACCATTTTCAGTTTTTTCACCAATTTTCCTTCCTCCCTATTCCACCATTGTCGTCTCCTCAATTCTCCATAGCCAACCAAGTTGTTCATCAACATCGCCATTCTCTTCCCTAATCAGTATCTCTTTCAAAATTAAAGAATCGAAATTTCCGCCTCCACTTAAAATAGAGAAAGAAAAAAAGAAAAAAAAAACTATTCCACTTTATCACAGTCTCTCATCAACATATATATTTCATCTTCCCTGCTTTCAACATAAAAAATTCACGGGAAAAACAAATTTGATTACCTAATTCAAATCAGGAAGGAGATCAAATACTAACATCCCACAATTATTAAAGAAGAAGGAGGAGGGAGAAAAAAACCACCGCAAATCTGCCCAAATTATTAGCCTTTTTCCATGGAGATTTCTTTCATCTAAACGAATATCTTTGAGTAATCTATCCTCAATTGATAACCTGAAACCATAAAAAGAAATATAAGATCAATTGACGATTGCGAGAATGAAACAAATTATACGAAGAGAAAAAAAGCACCCCAAAAATCTATACAATACCAAAACTAATAAAAGATTTAAAACAATCTTTAACTATCGACTACAAGCCAAAATTAATATAGAGAAACATATGAGTACATGAAAATTTATCCAACAGTTAAGCTGAATCGTGGGGAGGAAACTTCAAAACTTGAAGTAGAAGATGTGCGTCGGGTTGTATTTGCATTCAAGTTACATTGACACGGGTGGAAATTTTTCAGTTAGCGGGGAGAGTTTAAAAGATATGATATGGATAAAAATATTTAGAGAGATCATTATGAAAAATTAAGAGAATATTTTTAATAAAAGATATAAAGTCATAAATCAACAAAATGAAAAAAATGGACAGTAAGTTACACAGATGTTTTCGAATATTAAAAATTATTCCAAATATACTTAAAATAACAAAACACAATAATATTAAAAATTACACAATTACAAATTATATCATCCCGTCAGAAATATCTTATAATCTTTAAATCATTAAAGTTATAAATATCTTGAACAACCCACACAACGTGCGGGATAAACACTAGTATATATGAAAGGAATTTTGATCCTGGTACACGTGTCACTCAATTATGATACTAATAGGTTTCGTAGTAAACTTAAACGGTAAAATAGTTAAAATATTATATTTACTATTTACTTTACTAAAATGCTATTTTTTTATTACTTATTATTTCACTAATTACTGCTTTATAACTTATAATTTTACTTTGTCGATGGGGGTGGTTATCAGAATTCTAGAAAGCAAGTGGACAGGAAACAGTAAAGCTGAAAAGCAGAGCAAAGCTAAAATAACAAAGATAAAATAATTGACAGGAAACTCTTCTTGTCCATTTTCCTTCGTAAGTCCTCAATATATAGCCCCCTAAAAGTGAAACTGATAACTCCGTTTACAGTTAACGGTATCCCTTAACAAAATATTCTGATATCTATAGCTATTAGTAATTATACTAATCTCTAATAGTATCCTTTAGCTTAGCCGGTTCCTTTCTTGATCTCACAGGCCTTAGACCAGCAGCATTTGCCCCCTCCTGGGACCGAACCTTGTCCTCAAGGTTGAATTGAGGAAAATCGCGCTTGAAATCAGAAACCAGCTCCCACATGGCATCGAAGTCTGGTTGATGGTGCCACTTGACCAGGACCTAAGGAACAAGATGGCCCTGCTGGAGAACTCGGCGGCTACCAAGGATCTTTTCTGGCAGAAGGAGTGGGTGATCCTCCAAAAACTCCCAAGGTAAGGGAATGGTGGACAGTGCAGTCCCTTGGATAGCTTTTTTTAACAAAGAGACGTGAAAAACATCATGAATCTTCGCAGTTGGGGGAAGTTTCAGGCGATACGCCACCAGTCCAATGCGTTCAGTGATGGGAAAAGGGCCGTAGAAGCGCTTGGATAGTTTCTGTGATTGGCGGTGGGCAAGCGAAGATTGGTGGTAGGGTTGCAGTTTCAACCAAACAGCATCTCCAACCTGAATTTAACATTAGTTCGCCTTGCATTGGCTTGATTGCGCATACGATTCTGGGCACGCAGTAGATTGGCCTTAAGTTTAGAAAGGAGAGTGGTGCGGTCAGTAAGCAATTCATCAACCGAGGCGACTGCAATTGAGCCTTCAGTGTAATCCAACAATGAAGGAGGGAGGCGCCCAAATACCGCTTCAAATGGTGTCATTTGTATTGTCGAGTGCCAAGATGTGTTATAGTGCCATTCTGCCCATGGCAAGTAAGACAACCATTGTTTAGGTTGATCGGCAACAAAACAACGCAAATAGTCTTCAAGGCAGTGGTTAAGGACCTCAGATTGACCGTCGGTCTGCGGGTGATACGCACTACTTGTGGCCAAAGTTGTACCCTGCAAACGAAACAACTCATGCCAGAAATGACTCATAAATACCGGGTCACGGTCAGAAACGATTACCGAAGGAAAACCGTGTAATTTGCCACTTCCTTCACAAAACTATCAGCAACCATGACAGCAGTAAACTGAGTGGTGTAAAGCCACCAAATGAGCATGCTTGGACAATCTATCAACAACAACCAAGATAACCGTTTTACCCTTGACTGCCGGTAAGTGAGTAATAAAGTCCATTGCCACAACATCCCATATCTTTCCTGGAATAGGCAGCGGTTGAAGGAGACCTTGAGGCTTTGTGTTGAATGGTTTCGCTGCCTGACAAACGGTGCAATGAGAGACATACTCCTGGACTGAAGAACACATTTTCGGCCAATAAAAAACTGCAGCAATGCGAGCCAGCGTGCGTTGAACTCCGGCATGGCCACCCACCGGGGAATTGTGTAATTCAGCCAATATTAAAGGTTGAAAACCTGATTCAATTGGGATAACAACTCTGCCCTTAAAGAAAAGCAGACCATCGCGAACCAAGTGATGAGGGAACTTGGTTGGTTCGGAGCTGACATCTACAAGTAGGTGAGAAGCAGCAGGGTTGTGGACAAAAAAATCCTTCAGCCCTTTCCAAATGGCCAGCAGGGGTTGGGAAGAAGCTGTTAGCGAGGACAAGGTCGCATGGCTTTGGCGAGACAACGCACTGCTGGACCGTTTTCTTTCCCGGGTTTGTACACAATGTCAAAATCAAACCCCAGCAATTTTGTGAGCCATTTTTGTTACTCCGGGGTTTGGATGGTTTGGTGGAGCATAGAGCGCAAGCTTTAGTGATCTGTTTGAATAATAAAATGCCGACCCAGGAGATATTGCCTCCATTTTTTGACAGCTTCAGTAATGGCAAACATCTCTTGAGCATAGGTAGATGAAGCATGCATGCGAGGAGACATCTGTTTACTAAAGAAAGCCAATGGATGCCCCTGTTGTAGGAGGATCGCCCCAATTCCAGTACCCGATGCATCAGTTTGAATCACGAAGGGTAAAGAGAAATTCGGCATAGCAAGAACCGATGGCGACAACATTGCCTGCTTCAACATGTCAAAGGCTGTAGTAGCATCATTGGACCAAATAAAGGCCTGTTTCCTCAGCAGCTGAGTCAGAAGTGCGGTGATGGAAGCGTAATTCTTGATAAAACAACGATAGTATCCCACTAGACCCAGGAATCCACGCAGCTGTTTGACTGTGGTAGGCAAAGGCCACTGCTGGATGGCCGAAAGTTTATCCGGTTCAGCCGAAACTCCCCCTGACTTAATGACATGTCCCAAATAAGTAACCTGGGGACACCCAAATTCACACTTGGTGAGTTTCGCAACTAGCGAGTGCTGTGATAACAGAGAGAACACAGCTTGGAGATCTTGAATATAACTGTCCCATGAATTACTGTAAACCAGGATATCGTCGAAAAAGACTATGACAAATCGGCGGAGTACAGATTTGAAGACCGAATTCATTAGCGCCTGAAATGTGGAAGGGCCATTTGATAACCCAAAGGGCATGACCAAAAATTCGTAGTGGCCCTCATGAGTACGAAAAGCCGTTTTTCTCAATGTCTGCGAGGTAGAGGCGAATCTGGTGGTATCCGGCCAGGAGGTCGATTTTGGAAAAAACGCGAGCTCCAAACAGCTCATCAAGAAGTTCATCAACTGTGGTTATGGGAAAACGGTCTTTGATGGTAACGGCGTTTAAGGCTCGATAATCTGGACACAACCGCCATATTCCGTCCTTTTTCTTGACAAGCAACACTGGGGCTGAGTAAGGGCTGGAACTCGGTCGAATAATACCAGTCGAGAGCATATCCCCGACCAATTTTTCCATCTCGGTTTTTTGAAAATGGGGGTATCGGTAGGGCTTGACATTTACTGGTGTGGTATTGGGTAGGAGGTTAATGCGGTGGTCAAACTTCCTGATCGGAGGCAAGCCGGATGAAGGTGTAAAGATTGGAGCAAAGGTCTGAAAAAGTG